GAAGGACAGGGTGATAAGTAAGGGTGAAAGACCAAGACAGAGGGAAGAAACAATGGCTTTGGAATGGAGTTAAAATATTTGTCTTTAGAAAACTTCATGTAAAAACACTGATATTGGCTAATGAAATTCCATTTAGGAAACTGGAAGGCACTAGATCTGAATATTTATCTTAGAGTTTAATGTTCATCAATGAAGAAACAGAAACACAAACAAGTTCAATGGTTTACAGTTTGTTCAGCAAGCCAAGAATGCAGGAGTGAATAACACTTATAGGTTGTCAAGTAATAAAGAAGGAGGAGGGAAGAGTTCTCAAGAGGATCTGGAAGGAAAGCTTCACAGGAGCAGCAATGGGAACAAAATTTCCTAAGTTTAGGACAGAACTCGCTCAACTTATGAGAAATTATACAATGTGGTTGGCCTGAAAATGATGAGGAACAAACATTTAAGATCCCTCTTAGATAAAAATCTGTCTCAAATGGCAGCAAAGGGAAGTACAGCTGCAGGGAAGGTCAGTGCCATCACCGTCACCGCACAGGAAAGGGAAATGAATCTCCACACTCTGATTCTCCTCAAGCTCTTCGATGCAGCTTAAATCAAAATAAGGAGAGCAAGCAAGGCCTCAACCAGCATTTACCAACCCTGAAACCAAAACCATGCAAACAAGTGAACAAAATCCATGCAGCTCATCTGCAGCACGGATGGGGAGAAGTAAAAGGTAAGTCTGAAAGTCTGACAGGACTTCTTCAAACGAAAAGTTCAAGTCATCGCTGCACAACCATCAGGACAAGAATCTGCACAGAAATGGTGACACAGGACTGACTGACAATAAAACATGGGACATCAGGTTTTTGTTATATTGCTCCACTTCTGTAATGCCTCCCAAAATACCTGTGGAGCAGATAATAAACCCCCTCTGACTGAGTAGGGAGGATGTGACAAGGGGTCACAGAGATGGAAGAATAATCTGTTCAGATGACACACAGTTACAGATCACTTGTGTTTTTACCACCTACACTAGGCAGGCTGTAAGGTACCTGTATGCAGTGTTTGGGTAAGCAGAACTAACACAAATAACAGTGAAACAGTCGTAGCAAAGTACTTCAAATAGCCAGCTCACACCAAAACAAGTGGTTTCCATATGCCTTAAACAACTGCTTCCTGGAGCAGGAGATTTCGTCAACAAACAGCTCAAATAGGACGCAAAATGGGCAACTTCAACATCCAACATCAAGGAAATACATACCAGAACCCATACAATGACACAGCTCAGGATGTGCAACTCTTAGAGATGGCTGGGAGCCCCAAGTCAAAAATAAATGCTCATTTCAAAGCACAGCAGCAACCTTGACTGCCCTTAGAGCCACATATGTCTCACTAAGGACACAGGGAAGGGAAGAAAGGGAACAGAACAATGTAACTAATGACAACATTTAAAAGGTTTGCTGGCCCTTCTGGAAAAAGAAATGGAAGCCTGTAAAAAGAAACAGCTGTAGGAATTCTGGGGTTTTAACCTTTAGCCTTAACATTTATACTTCATATCTTGTTTCTGAAACAGGCAGTGTGAAACACCAGTAGACATGCTGATTTGGTGAGGTAAATAATATCGAGTAAAATGACTTTGGGAAGTGATGCTCATCAAAATGAACTGTTCATACTCTCAGAAATCTGAAAATTCCAAGGACAGATGTTCCCACCTTCACAGCACAGCTCACTGGCAATGAGCTTTATACTGTGGTACAGGGTAAGAGGTTGGGAGCAGAAGCGTGAAAAAGATAGAAATAAACCACCCAAGGTGCTGTAAGAGGGAAAGTAGGAAATTCATAGGTAAATATCAACAAAACAGAGGTTATAGGAGTTAATTATATTTTCATGCACCTGAAACTAAGCACTTAGCCCAGGTTTCTGTCTGTTATCCAGTTTAATGCTACAGAAGGTAACAATGTCTCTATGTTACAAAGAGCAGTCCTGCTGCTGCTCTTGAATTCTACGCTCCCATTGTCGGATAAAAATAGCAAGGGTTTAAGGATTGGGGAAAAAAAGTTAATCAAGTTTAAAGACCAGCACAAGGATCAGTACAACTCTCAATACAGTTTTAATATTTAAATCCACCCCACGGTCCATAATCTGGCAAAGTAATTGCTATAAAGAGGGCACGGTCATGTAGGTAAATGTGTCTAAGAGAAGACCTGAAAACCCAATTTATCATTGGGATCACAGACACATCCTACAAGGGGAGAGAAAAATGTAAACAGAAAGCCTCCTCCATCAGCCAAAAGGAGTTTAAAATGATGGAATGCACTCAACTTAAGAATGCACTTGAATTAACCTTAAGAATCCAGGGAAGAACCATGTGCAGGAGTGTGCAGAGCTTGAAGTCACCCAGCCAAAGTGCACCGGTCCAAGAGCATATTCCAGCGTTAGCGAGCCCAAAGCTGCTGAACCGAGGACTGCGAAAAGCGACTGTGACTAATAGTTCCACATCCTCGCCTGCTTTCCACCCCTTCAACCCCACGGCGGGGCAGAACAACCGCAGCAGCCTCAGGGTCAGCAAAGAACTCCAAGGGCCGGTTTCCAACATCCAAAAATATTCTGGCGCTACCTTATTCCAGGCGGGAACAAGGGACCAAACCCAGGCTTGGCGCTTGGCTCCGCTACAACGAGCAGAGGGGACGAGACGCCCCAGCCTCCCACAGACCCCCCCCTCCTACGGAAACCACCGGGGCTGACACTCCACCGATGCGAAGCCCTCGGCACCGGGAACACCCCACAGCCCAGCGCCGGTGCGGGGCCAAGGGCCCCGGGGGCCGCGGGGGCCCCGCGGAGCCGCCGAGGGGCCGAGCGGACCCGGTGCCCGCCGGCAGCCGCGGCCCCCGCCCCGCCGTGACCTTCACGGCCGCCCCCACCGGCGCCGCGGCCCTCACAGCGCTCCCCCTTCCCTCCTTCCCTCCCTCCCTCTCTCCCTCCCCGCGGCCGCACTGCGGGGACCAGCCCCGGCCGCCCACCCGCGGCCGCCCCCGCGCCAGGCCCGGAGGTGACCGGAGGGACGAAAGAGGGGCCGAGGTTGGGAAGCGGGGTTGGGAAGCGGGGTGGGGGGGTAGCAGCGTCTCCTCGCCGCACTCACTATTCCTTGATGAGCACCATGGCGGTGCCGCCGCGCCTCCCGGCCGGGCCAGCCCCGCTGAAGGTGACAAGGAGGCGCGTCCCCCGGGGCCGCTCCGCTGCCAGGCGGCGATGGAGCCGAGCGAGCCGAGCCGAGCCGAGCCGAGCCGAGCCGAGCCGAGCGCCGCACCGGGACAGGGGGCCGGGCCGGGGGCCGGGGCGGTTCGTCTCTGCGGCAACGGCTGCGTCACCTCCGCGCCGCGCGCGGGCGGAGCCCGCCCGGCCCCGCCCACCGCCCCCCTCAGCCCCGCCCACCGCCCCCCTCAGCGCGGCGGGAGCGCGGCCCGACGGGTTTGGATTGCTTCTCTTTTTTTTTTTTTTTTTTTTTTTGGAGTATAAACTCTCTCCTTTAGGGGTTCTCCCAAGAGGTGTAAAACTAAGCTGCGGTTCGTTTCGGCTCTCCGAGCCTTAGGGGTTCCCAAAGCGGTTCAGCGGTCTCCCAGCAGTGCCGGAGCCCGCTGGCAGTCCCTCAGGTTTTTGTGAGTCGGCTCCGATGTTTTTAATTATAGCAGCGTCTTTAGGGTCTCTCTCTCAAGAGATGTAAACTGCACGGTGTTAGTCGTTTCAGCTCTTAAGGCTGGGATTCCCAAGAAGTCTCCCAGCGGTGCCACGAAGCCCTTCTGCCGCTAGTGAGGTTCTACAATCATAATACCATGGAATGGTTTGGGTTGGAAGGGACCTTAAGGATCATTCAGTTCCAACCCTCCCATGCCCTGGGCAGGAACATCTTCCACTAGCCCAGGTTGCTCCAAGCCCCGTCCAACCTGGCCTTGGACGCTCCCAGGGATGGGGCAGCCACAGCTTCTCTGGGCAAACCTGTGCCAGGGCCTCCCCACCCTCACTGGGGAAAACTTCTTCCATGTATCTAATGTACATTTCCCTTTCAGACTGAACCCATTACTTTTTGTCCTGTCACTACAGTTCCTGAAGAAGAGTCCCTCTCTGCCTTCCCTGTAGGTCCCCTTCAGATACTGGAAGGGGGCTGTGAGGTCTCCACAAAACCTTTTATCCGGGTTGAACAGCCCCAAATTTCTCAGCCTGTCCTTGCAGGGGAGGTGCTCCAGTTCTCTTGTCAGCTCCTGACCCCCCTCTTTTGGGAGGGCGAGGAAGGGGAATGACCAGTGATCAGGGTATTAATGCAAATATCCAGGGGATAAGTCAGTGCTACAGTCAGACAGGGTGAGTGTCCTCAGGTACTGGGCTCCACCTTGTCACCAGGTCATGATTTATCACACCTTCAAGTCTTCTTTAGTTTTCAATATTGCTGCTGAGCTGCAGTCACCCAGGCTGCACTTGGCATCATGAGGAACCCCAGATATTTATTAGAAGGCAATAACAAAAACCCTTTTCTGTGACCTGTACTCAATAAAAACCACTAAGGAGTGCTAATCTTACTACTTTTGTCACTGGAATCACAGAGCAAGGATTGTCATTATTGGATTGGAAAAGTAAACCACCGTAGATTTAGCATCACCAAGCTCAAGAGGGGATAACTGAGACATGCAGCTTTCCTGCTGACACCTGCACTCCCACCTAAGGTCAGTTGTTCATCTTTCATTATTTGACATTAATTCACCCAGCATAACTGAGCTTGATCTCATTCTCAACCTGCCCTCTACGGTTTGGGGACTTTTTCCAGAGATTAAATTTTAATTCTCCAGTAGAGCTTAATTGGCATTAGCTATTAGCTCCTAACCTAGAGAAGAAAAATTCAAGGAAACATTCAACCTGTGTCCTGCCCTTTGGCAGGTGACACCCTGTGAAGCATTTGTGCTTCCATAGTCTCATTAGGAAGCAAGCAATGCTTCTATTATGTTCAACCTCAGAAGGAAAACTAATGATTAACTTAATAACACTTTATTTTGAGATAGTACTGCAAGAGTGCACATCACCTTACAAACACAAAGATGACACAGGCCTGCCCCGAGGAGCTTACAATTCAACTTTGACAAACATCACAAAAAATTCTGTGGACAGGAAAAGGTGGGAGAGAGAACGCTCTTGGGTTAAAGAAGGGGTTTTCTGAAAGAGGGGATTGTCTCCAGAATAAAAAGTGAGTGGCAGAGGGTCAGGCACAAGGAAGTGACAGGCAGCAGTAGGGTGACAACGTGGAGTACAGGACACCTGATAAAAACAGATTGCACAGAGACAGGCTGGCAGCACAGGCAGGAAAACAAGGAGCTGGGGGGGTTTATAATTAACATTTAAGAATGCAGCTACATAACACAGAATTGTTTCAGCTACTCCAGAGAAGATAACATTGTGAATTATAAATCAGAAGCGGCTTTTTTTTTTTTTTAATTAAAAAAAAAAGAACACAAAAAAACCCCCCACAACCAAAACCAGTCCCTTCCCATCAGGAATCCTACTGTAATACTCATTTCCACTATGTAGAAAAAGTAGTACTTTGCAGTTCTAAATTGGGGCATAGGGAATACCAAAAGCTCTGCAGCTGCAAAAAGACTCAAAAGGGGGGAAAAAAAAAAGTAACAAAAATTTGTAGTTTTAAGATTTCATTCTTTCTACCCTATGCTATCTGCTTTAAATTTGGTAGCATATTTTCCAAATTCATCAGCATGTCAAGAGGGAAATCTACTTGAAAACATTTTAGTGATTTACTGACTTAGTTACAATCTCATTATCCTGCAATTTTACTTTGTAGATGGAGCATGAAGAGACCAGGCTTTGCTGGGGGAGTTGAACATTTTAGTTGCTGTAGCAGCACTGCAGTTAAGTTGGAGCCTCAGCGAGATTTGCTCTTTTTTTTTTTGCATACATCTGTGTCCAGTTTCATCTCAAGGATCCAGATACAGCTTTATGCAGTTACTGTCATAGTGTTAAGTGTCCTATTAAAGCAGAACAGCACAGATTTTCTCTGCTACTTTTGACACAGTGTTATTGCATTAATGCTATAAAGACTGTGTCAACAGGGCTTAGGCACTGACAGATTAGTGAAAGCAAAAAGCTGTCTCACCCTCCATTCCCCACTCTGTGAATTTAATTTTTTTATATGTATTTTTTTTAGCATAGGTGCACATTAAATGCACGTGAGAGTCTGCAGAGGTCAGGAGCAGCATTTTCACAAGGTGCAATCACCTTCACACAGCAACACCCTTGACTCTGAGGGCTCCTACAAACAGCAAGGACTCACAGATGAGGTTTCTGCTTCATTACATTCCACTGTAATGGGGATGCTTCCACGGAGGTCTTTCCCACGACCACCCTCCCTGCACTTCTGCAAACTGACCCTGATCCACCCCCAGTGTTTGTTTCTGCACTGTGCATGACAGCATTTCAAGAGGCTGAAGGCAGAATATTGCCCTCCAAGGGCCCATTGCTGCAGGAGGTGCAGGACTGCAGCAGTTATGCCACATCAGTGGAGTATTTGCACGTCTTGCATGCAGATATGTTTGAGACTGCTTTTAAAACTAGTTTGGTTCACAACTGTCAGAATAAATTAAACCCCACTAGTGTCAGACCAGTGTTTTACCTTAGCCCAGCATGTTTTCTTCATCTTTGACCAATTCTTAAAAGACAGAAACGTGTAGACAGAACAACAATCTTTCCTTGACACAACTCTCTTATTTACAGCAACTTAAAATCTCCCTGAGTTAGTGGATGCAGAGCATTGTTTAACCAGCCTCTTTAAAAAAAAAGAATTTATACTTCTGTTCCCCACTACATTCTGCAGCAATGACTCCCACAGTTTGTTGCATGGCCTGAGAGGGTGATACCACTTGTCTGTTCAACTCTGAATAGCTAAAACTTCCCTGTGTAGCCACCAGGACTACAACTCCAAGGCATGAGCTCTGCTCCTCACAGCTGACCAGCAGCTTCTAAACACCATGCCACATCAGCAGAGACACTAAAACTCACATATCTAACATTTTATCAGAGGAAACTGGATTTGAAGGTATTCCTAATAAAGGGCAGGGACCGGGAACTGCAGTAGGGAGGTAGATGGCAGAAATAAAAGTGTTCTTTGAAGGATGTGCAGCTAAACTAAAAGGCAGCAGCAACTCCACTGTGACTTCATGAAAATATGTCACTCTGTTCCACTATTTTGCAGAGACATTTATAACAGCAATTCAAGTGACATAGGAGTGGAAGCAATCACATTCAATGTTCTGAAACCGAGGTGGAAGTAATGCTGAGTTAGCACACTGACACCCTCCAGCAGCTTCTCTGCTTTAGGACACTGAGACTGTGGATGGTGGCTCAGACACTCACCTGCCCGAGCTATTCCTAAAAAAAGGTACTTAATCTGTCATTGTCGTGTCTCAGCTATCTTGGAGCAGGAGTAGGACTCTTCTCAAAATATTCAGAAGTATTGTAACATTAAATGCAGAAACCTGCAGAAAGCCCTCTGGAAACCTAGGCAGGTGGGTCTCTGAAACATGTACTTGAGACAACACCAGGTGAACAGGAAAATTAACCAAAACTCTGCTCCTTAATTATTGCTCGACACAAAAGAAAGAAAAGCTGGGAAGGTCACTGAATCATCACCAAAAGACAACAAGTTCCAGAAAAGTGTTGACAGTAGGCAATAAGTCTGCCTTGGAACAACCACATTTAATAAAGGCAACACATTAAGAAAAAAAAAAAAAAAAAATTCACAAATGTGTCAAACGCTCAAGTGGCCAGTCCTTTTGAATCGAGTGGCTGAAGACTGAAAGGTACCGTGGAGCAGCATCGGAACTGCTGGTGGGAGCAGTGACTCGAGATGGCGCTGCCGTCCCACGGAGCTGCCTCATCATCCTGCGCTGGCAAAGCACCCGCAGGGCTTCCAGCCGCCCTGCCCAGGCTCTGTGCTTGCCTGCTCTTTAGGAAAGGTGAAGCCCTGGCTGGGCTGAGCATCTGTACCCTTCGAGCTGTCAGAGGAGGAGTTAACACCCAGTTTCCAGGTCATTTCTCTCAGGAAGGTCTGAGCGTGGAGTTGTTTCTAATCCTCTGTTTAGCGCCAACAGCGATTGAGTCTTGTACTTTTCCAACCAGACACAGAGAAGCTGACAGACTTACTCCCTGCCAGGCTTTGCAGTAAAACACCACCACATCTTCATAACTGTTTTGTTTCTGGCCCAACCTTCCTGCAGCCACCAGCTCAGCCCAGCGTTCCCACTGGCGATGCTCCTCCTCACCCCTGCACAGTCCTGCTCCGAGCAGGTCCCACAGCGTGAACACAAGTCACAAGGCTACAGGGCCTGAGCTACCGACCTCAGCAAGAAGGTTAAGGGCAGAAAAGCCTGCTTTAAACAAGACCTCTATAAAAATAAGCAGGTTAACAATTCCCTTTGTATTCCCTCCCTGGTGAACAGGCCTGGGGCACCTTTACCCACGTGTATTGCTCTGACAGTCGGCTTCACCATACAATCAATCACCATCTGCTCTGTCCAGACAGAGCATCAAAAAGGCTCCTAGTACAGCCAAACTGGCAGCATTTTTGTCAGTCACACTAACCTGGTGACTGTTGTCAGAGCAATGCAAATAAGCTATGGCTAAAGGAAAAATTACATCACCACATCACCCTGCCGTGTCCACAGGATCCAGTTACCAGACACAAAGGAGTGTTCTGCACTCTTGATTTTTTTTTTCTCCAGCTCACAACACGTGAACACCAAGGTATCTGGAGCTCCAGAACTCAGGTTCAAGAAGCTTCTCCACTTTACTAAGTACACACTGCTGCTCCCCTCCCAGGGTCATGTCAAAGGGAAGAGGCAAAAGGCAACAAGTCTCAAAAGCACTTAATCTGTAAACAAGATCCACTTCCTATCTCAAGGATTCCAGGACTGCAGACAGTTTAGAACACGTGCAGGTGGTTTGTGAACCGGGAAGAAGAATTCCAGGCCTCTGAAGGCTTGGTCTAGGACCAGCAGTCCACTATAGGCTCTTGTTTTCATTATGGAAGGCAGATCCATTGCTCACAGTCTGTGTCATTTGCAGTAATGAAAGGTTTGGGAGCTGTCAGTGCTAGCAGCCAACATTTAGCAACACACTGAAGCTGTGCTCATACACATAGGAATAAGATCCCCTTCCCTGCCTCAGAAACAGTCTAGGGTATGTCTGGATAGACAGTAAAACCACTGGGTCCAGCTACACATCAAGCAGAAAGACCATTATGAAGCCTCAGGGAGGGAAGGGAGCGCAGCTTGCATCCGAGACTGTGTCAGCTAAGGCTGGGGGAAGAGGGGGAGAAAACAGACTGCACTGCCTTACATCTGCAAACTCAAACTATGGTCTGTCTTCCCTCTTCTCCCATCCCTCTATTCCTTCTCTCCCCAATTTCCTATGCAAACTCTCTGCTGCTGGAGAGTGTGATCAGGGGATAGTTTAAGACACAATATCTGTGTGGCCTTTAAAAAAAAAAGAAAAAGTGTCCCGTGTTTTGGAGTAAGGAGTAGGAAGTCTCCTCCTGCCATACATCTGAGGAAGTCTCAGTCATGATGTCCGGCCCTCACTCCAGTGAGGAGCAAAGACTGGCAGAGCCAGGGGAGGAAAATCCTGGCTTACACCACAGGTAGAACCCACGGATGTGGTAGGAACCTGTACAGGGGAGGTTGTATGTGAAGCACCAGTTTAAACAAAGGCTTCCTCAGTGGGAGTGCCATTGATTTTGAAGAAAAGTTTGGCATCTTCCATCTTCTGCTTTTTTTCTCTCTCTAGCCTGCGTCTGTAGCAGACCAGGTAGATGGGAAGGCAGAAACCCAGGAGGCTCATGCCAAGCAAACCAACATTCACCTGCAGGAAAGAAAGCAAACCAAAATCAGGCAGGCAAAGGAGGACGACAGCCCAGTCACGCATCCTGTAGTGTCAGAACCCAGCCCACGTCACTCAGCTGTGGGCAAACCAGGACACGCCCTGCTCAGTGTATTGACAACATCCTCCACTGTTCTTACATTTACACTCCTGTGCCCAGAGCACCATGTGTACAAGCTACACACTGTAAGAGTTTATTGCTCGGGATTATGGCTGTGGGAGTCTCGTTCCACAGGAAAAGCTGCAACTCTTTCACACCAAGTTTGCTGATTGAAGAGCAACAGGCTGCTGGTGTGGGCACACAAATCCTAGAGACCAGAACTCTCCACCCATGTCATTATTTTACTGAGCTGCCCAGACTCTCAGCAAGACATCACATTACCCCTACCCCTCAACTGCCATTTGGCTTTTTGGACATTAGCATCAGCGATCCAAAATTTACCGGTAAATGGAGCTAAGAGCTCTCGAGGATCAGAGTATTGTATTTTGAGGTCTCCTCACGTTCACTCACTTTGACCTGACAGATTCTGACTCACCACAGACTGGTAGTGGAAAGTATTCCCTTCCCCCCCTTTCCATACACCAGCATAAGGGTTAATGGCTTTCCCTCCCAGTGAGTCATTACTCACAGAGAAGGGTCTCCTGGACAGCACCAAGGTAACAGCAGATTAAGGGACAGGTAAAATCCCAGCTGTTTTTAACTTTGATCCATGCACAGTTCTTTTGTTTTCCAAGAAATGAGCCAAAAACCATCTTAACCACCCAAGCTTTCACACTAAATTTGAGAAGAACTTGCCCAGAGAGGGTCTCCTTTCAAAGGTCCTGTCAGTGCCATGAAGAGAGGCTGCTGCAGAAGGGCGAAGAGGGCACTGATCAACGACTGCAACCCTGTCAAGCTGCCAAACTGAGTAGAGGGGTATCTGTCAACAAAGAGAGCAACAGCATTATTACATGTCACCTTGACTGTTCACATCACCCAGATTGCATTCCCAGTCAACTAATAGAGATTAATTTACAGAGACTGACTTGAGAGCATGGTCCTGAGACAGGCATAATGTGCAGGACTTCTCTCTCCTGGATTTAGGTATAACTACCTCTTTCTACAGGATATTTGCCTATACCTGATGGTGTCCCTGGTGCCAAGGCTGGAGCCTTCCTCTTCCAGACTGTTCTCATCCTAAACTCTCCAACTTTAATATAAAACCCAGAACTTCTTTTGTTTTGCAGCTGTACTGTGGGCAGGTGGAAGTGCTTATACAACTACTGTTCCTATTGCACAGGGAGCAGAGTGTTGATATTTACAAGTTGAAAGCAGGGCCTCTTTATCCAGATGACAGCACTTGTGGCTGAGCAATCATTTTTATCTGGTCACAACAATTTGCTCCCTTTGGAAGTGAGTGAAACCTGCACAACAGGTATGTGTTTTCCTTTTTAGAGGACAAGTCTGATCCTATGTCAAACTAAATAACCCTGTTGACTGAATTGATGACTATCAGATAATACTAATGGAAAAACAAATTTCAGGAACCGTCTGATATCTTTCTCTTTCCACAACTGAGCAGTGTTTAAAAAGGGTCAGGTTAAACTAAGCTTGGAAGCAAAGAAAGAAGCAGATCAAAGCCTTCAAATATTTAAATAAGTCACATTCAAAGCAAAAATACCTCGCTCCAGGAAGTTCCAGAGAGTTGCAATGGCCAAACAGGATTAGTTTACAAGCAAGCTGATATGTATAGCAACATACACTTATCTACCTTGCCCAAAACAAAATCTTTTACTTTAGCTGCCAGGAAACCAAAAGTTTATGCATTTCTGAAGCTGAGTCTTAGGTGGGTTTTCTAGTCTGGATTCCCCAGACACTGGGATAAAAACCTTTGACAGAAGGAGTCTGTGGAGTTGTGGAGTCTCCATCCAGAGAGATATTCAAAACACAACCAGATGCAATTTTGGGCAACCTGCTCTAGCTGACTTTGCTCAAGCATGACAGATGAACCAGATGGTCTCAAGAGGTTCCCTTCCCACCTCAATGATTCTGTGATCCCCTGAAAGAGAACATCTCCTTTCTGTTCCTCTGTCCCAACAGCTCAGGACAGAGGGGCAGATCTGTTTTCAAAACCAAAAACGTTGCTTAACGAGGAAGAGAAGATTTAGATTCAGCTATCGATAACTTTGATACAGGAACAACAGGATGGATGATCTGTCCTGGGAAAGGGAGGAGGCATCACTAATGCTACCTTGAGCAATGCTTCACCCATGTAACTTGAGAGCAGGGCACAGCAGTAGCGATGTTTTCAGTCACGTTAATGTTTTACCCGGCCACATGCACAAATCTGCTCATTGCAGGACAAAACCAGCCTTGAGTTTTTACTATATAACCTCAGTGTCAATACCTTTGTCTCACCTGAGGCCCACACAGAGCTGTGCCTGTCTCACTGCAGTAGCTATGCCAAAGGGATTGGCTGTTGCTAAACAAAGAAAGCACCAGCTGGGACTTCAGTCCAGCTACTGTCGTGTCTAGTTGTGACTGTGGAAACAAGTTGCATCATTTTACCCCTCTGACCATGAAGACTTCACTTCCTGATCTCCCTCTCACCTGGACAGCCTCTCATCCCAAACAGTTTATCTGGCCAGCCACATTTTGTAGGTAACCAGGGACTTACACAGCAGCATAGAGGCCTCCCACAGCTGAGTGGATGAACCCTCTCACAATTGTGTGCAAAATGAAGGAAAGAATCTGGAAAGAGAAGCAGAAAAAACCATCACATTCAAGATACCACCCAGGCGTGCCAGACCCCAACACACAACCATTCCTAAAAGCTGTTCTTTCTAGTACAAAGGTGGGACTGGATAACCCAGAACCAAAACCCGAAACATCAGCACAAGAGAAGAAATCTGTCTTTGTCTCAAGGCACTGCTTTTCCTTTCTTTGCAGGCCTCTGAGGTTAACCACACACAAGACCTCTCTCATTTGCAGATGGCACTGCTGCAAGGACATGTCCCCAGCAACCAGGATCACAAGTGCTTTTTCGTGGAGACCAATTTAGTTAATTTTCCACAGGTTATTGCAGACAACACACAAGTATGAGCAAATTACATCTGTTTGCCTATATCATCAAGGCATGCTAAAGTATGGCATAAAATCACTAAACTCCTCTGCCAAAAATAGGTGGTGCCACAAAATAAATATTTTAACAGGTTTATAATCCCACAGGTACCACTGGGCACAGCATTTGACGCAGAAATAACCTGCTGCATATAACCCTGTGTTGTGCTTCTTGCAGCAAATTTTCCAGCTGTCAGCAGTTTAAATCAAGCCCAGGTTAAACATACAGGCACTGCTGAAGAGGATCTTGGTAGGAAAGTATTTGTTGTTACACAGCTCAGCTGCAGAAGCTTCCAAGTGTGAATAAATTCTGGGTCAACTCTGACATTTTAACTAGAGCTGCTTCTGTTGGTTCTCTCAAGAGCATGTAAACTGCATGGTATTATTTGTTTCAACTCTTGGGATTCCCAAGCAGTACAGAAGTTTCCCAGCAGTGCCAGAAAGCCCTCCTGCCACTGTCCTGCCTGCCATTTTGCCCGGCCCCGCTCTGCCAGCCCCTCCAGCACCCCAAACCATTTCACCCATTCACCTGCAACGGTAGATTAGGAATGAGACAGGTGATTCCAAATCCAACCAGCAGGAAATTCGTGAATACAAAGGCATTGGTGGCATTGGTGATTTTCTGGATCTGACGGTCACGCTTTTTCTTTTTCTTGTCACTTCTGGAAGGACAGAAAAACCCGTGTCACAAAAGCACTTTTCAGCAGCAACTGGAACTTCACAGCAAGATTCTCCACATATCACATCAACTCTATCTAAACCAGCTTGGCTAGAGGTCTGCCTATGGAGGTGTCTGGGATCTCCATCAGGGGAAGCTGAGGAACACCCAGGTACTTATTTCAGTGCTGTTACCATCACTCTTAGGCTAGGAGGGAAACCTGAGCCTCTCCTGCTACAATTTAAATTTGCTCTTCTTGACTGATCTTTGTAGACATGGAAGACAGTTTGCTCCTTTCCTCTGCAGTTATCAAGTCTTCCTTCAGGCTTTCTTTTCTATACTGAAGAACCAATAATCTTTTCAGTCTTTCATCACAAAACACATAATGCAGAGTTGGGGGGGGGCTACATGGCTGCCTGTCCCGAGGGGTGCTCACTACGCACTGCTCAGCGTTGCTCTCCTCATTCTCTTCCGAGCCATCGTCACACTCTTTCATTCTCCAATCCATGATGCACCCGATCACAGGCGCTGTCAGCAAGCACAGCAGCTGCAATACCCCAAAAATGGAAGTGTAGAGAGCCACTGCAGGGAAAAAAAAAAATTAAAAATAATTATTAGTCCAAGTGGTACCATAGCAGCAATATATAAAAAAAAAAACTCCTGTTCCTCCCCATTGATCACCTCTCTGTTGAAGAGCCCAGACCTCCTGCACTGACAGGCTGACAGGCAGAGCTCAAGGAGCTGGGACACCAAAGCCCCACTCCATCATTTGGCCTCCCAGAGACTTGACATACTGGGCACACTTCCTTCAGCCATTCTGATCCTGCACTAGTATTCCCTCAGCAGCAGGTAGGGCTCCAAAAGTGGGACACAGCAACTTCTTAGTGCCAGGGAGATTTATTCTCGCTAGGACAGTCAGGAAAAGTTCTCACAAGCTTTATGTGCTGCACAGCCAGACCTGCCTTAGTCATCTCCTCTCCTGCCTTGCCGGGAGCTGCAGTTACATCCCCTCCAGCTGGGAAGCTCCAGCAAGGACAATCAGGCTGGGAAGGTGAGGACTAACCCATTTTGTGCTGAATGGACAAGTCTGGAGGGAGGAGGAGGGGAGATTAGCAGCAAAAAAAAAAAAAACCCACAGCATTTGAGAACAATCATGAAAAACTCAAACTGATGAAATTTCCCACATGCTAATGATGAGAGAAGTGTCTCCATGGTTTGCTAAGGGAAAGCTGATGCCAGCAGACTTAGAAGAACTGTCCCCTCCTGTGTTACTGAGCAGTTCCCCCACCCTGCAATGCTTTTTTCCACTTCCTCTCAGCAGCCCATGTGATGATTTAGGCATCGCACAGAAGGGCTGGTGAGTCATGGTGTGCCACAGCTCTGAAATAAGGATGTAGTTCTGAAACTGCCCATCTCAGCACAGAGCACAAGTAACAGCACTGCAAGCAAAACAACTAAACCAAATTTTAGTTTGTCCCTCCCAGTGCATTTCTAGGCCTGGCCAAAGCAGTACAGCTCGGATTTACACCCAAATCAACTTGGTAATGGAGAGAAGTTTCCAACAAGCCTTTCTTTCCTATGCAGTTGTAGCAAACCTCAGCAAGGCACCTGATGATACTTTCCTGGCTCCAGTTGCTGGCAAGGGAACCAAGAGGAACTTCCAACTCCGATCTCCAAACTAACCCCTGTTACTCCCACAAAGGCAAACCCTGAAGTGACCCCACATCCCCTCTCATTATAGCAACTGCTGCAGCCAAGAGAAACAGGTGGCATCACCCTCTATGAACACTCCAGGAGCTGATTTACTGTTGTCTGGTTATTTTTTAATAGAAGGTAAGAAGCAAGCCACGCTGTCACATTTTTCCTCTTCTTGCTCTTCCTGGGCTCTAAACAGCAAGTGCAAAGGCCAAGCTGAATTAGGGAATGAAATTTTTGGGGACAGCAAGAGAAGAGAAGGAAAGACAGTAGCTACTACAAAACAGGGCCTCCTGAACTTATCTATCATCTTAAAAAACATTCTTTCCTGAGGAGAAAAAGCCAGAACAATACCTACCAAATACCACCAGAAGTAGATATGCCAGAGGGCTGGATAGAGCTTCTGTGTGGGCAAAGGGAACACCCAAGGGCACAATCCTTTACATCTCATGTTCTACACATCTTGTCCTCAAAACTATCCCAAGCAATCACGTCATACAGCTGAGTTTTTCCAGCCCTGACTCTAACCAAGGTCTCCCACTGTCACCACATTTGAAACCAAGGTGACAACTTATGAAAAGCGCAGCCACATTTCAAGTTCTAGGCACAACAAGTCTACTCTCTCCTGCCTTCCCACAGCACAATTACACAGTCATTTACAGAGCTACTGAACCCTCAGCTTCTTCCCCATCTTCTGAGGGTTTTCAGAAGATAAGCAGCCACAGGCTCACTGCCCTCTCCACTTCTAGGTTTCATGACAGCTCTAAGTCACCATAATCTGCACAGGGCAGCTGCAGGTGGAGGGAGCTCTCTCAGCACATCACACACACGTAAGAAGGACCAGGGAGATCATCCCATCCTCTCCTGATCCACACAGATTACATTTCCAGGGAGCTGCACGCGCCTTGGAAGTGCTCCTGCAGCCTGACACTGCTGAGAGCAGACAATACCACTGTTTTGCTGATGCCATGGAAACACCAAGACAGCGACTGCACTGCATTGAGCCCAGGCTAATTCAGGGGGAGGAGGGGAAAAAAATAGGAAGAAATCTTAAAGGTGGCACAGAAAAGACGCACTATACTCAAGGGGCACAAGCCCTGTTCTAGCACAGAGTTTGATCTAAACAGAATTGGCAGCTTATATAGTTAATATTAATTCCAAAATTCCAAGGAGGGGAGGAGAGGGGAAAAAAAATGAAAGAGAAATAACTGGAGCAAGCCAGAGTAAAAATAAATAAATAACAATAATAAAACCCCCTAGTGTCAGAGTTACAAGGTAAGCAGAAAACTAAGCACCTTTGGGAAAGGTAGGCAGTGAGAAGTTTGTCCTGTTTAGTGTCTAAATTAGCTCCTGAGCCAGGAGATAAAGAGCTGAATGCTGCAGGCTGTCAGAGGCTCAAGAAACAAAGCAATTCAGGGAATGCCAGGGCACTTGGAGTTTCCTGAGTTTCCTTCCCTCCCCCAAAGCTCACTCCTGTTTTCAGAGGAGTGCCTCTTGATTTATCAGCTCCATGCAATCCAGATTTAACAAGTTCAAACTGGATCTTACTACAAAGGACAAAAACAACTTTAAAAAAAAAAAGGCGCCCCAAGTCTTGTTTTGCAACCCTGGTGGGTATTTTGAACAACAGTAAACTAATGTACTCTTTCCTGTTTGCTCCATGAGCTGCATCAGAACTATAAATACAGAGGAGTCCAGCGCAGGGAGCACCCCTGAGCCTCCCCAGCACACACCAAGCTGCACAAAACAGCTCTGACTTCACTCCTCCCACCCCTGGCTGAGCCACCGAGCCCAACCATTAGTCATGAGAGTCAGCTGCTCTGCGCTCTGTGCTTGCTTAGGGTAAGGAGAGCAAACACCTGATGAAATAGGTTTTCCAGTTAAAATAAAAATGCTCACAGTCCACCCTGAGAGGCTGCTTTCAACAACCTACCCGGGGAAACAACATGGAGTAGTATCTGACAGGCACAGGGCTAAAATTAGGTTGACATTCAAGCGTCTACCTCGCTGCCCTTCTGTCCTGGGCTGCTTCCAGCCTGGGGCTGGACCCTCCCAGCACCTGCCAGTGCACTGACACCACACACGGTGTATCTGCTCAGCAATCAGGTCCACTGGTCCTTGCAAAGACCAAGCCTGGGGCAGCTCCCAGTTCCAAGCAAGCAGATAAAGAAAGGTCTTCAGAGGTTCCCCCCACCTTGACTTTGGTCTCCAGACAGGAACTCCAGGATGGTGTTCATGGCTCCCATGTAGAAGATGAGCCGCAGCTGAGTGACGCACATGGTGATAAGGCTGAGCAGCAAGATAGGGCTGAAGACACTCTTCATGAAGGAGGGAGAAGCTGCAGAAGGAATAACAGAGTCTGAAGAAAGCAATATACCTTGGTAAACATTTACAGTTTCACAAGAGGCTTCCACCTCTGGCCTAGCAGGTCTTCTCCTCAACAGTCATTCTAACACTGTGTGCCAGTGGCAGCTCTAAGAAGTTGCCTCACAAACTTCCATAGTGAAGAGCTGGAGATGCCTGGAGTTTGGGCACCAGTAACTGCAGCAAGGAGGACTTGCCTGATTCAGTGGATTAGAACAAAAGGAAACTTTAAACCATTTGCTTTCACCATCAAGGCCAGGTTGGACAGGACTTTGAGCAACCTGGGCTAGTAGAAGATGTCCCTGCCCAGGGCAGGGGGTGGAATGAAATGGTCTTTAAGGTCCCTTGCAAGTCAAACCATTCTATGATGGCAACAGTCCACCTAAGAGACAGCAGTGACCAACTGCCCTGTCCTCCTGCAGCCACACCCATTGCCATGGTGGTGTCCCCACCACTGGCTGCACCAAATGTTGCATTTAGGCAAGGATACAAGGACAGGATTCCTTATATAACTGAACTTGTGTTTCCATCACAGTGGCTGGCACGTGGCCCTGGCAACACCTGGATCACATATCACTCATGAACAGGTCTGGAGCAGAGCAGAGAGGACAATGGGCTTGTGCCAGCACAAGCATCCCCAGGGCACTCAGGGAACCACACCTGCACTGTCAGGCTGGCACTTCACTTCCAGGTCCACCGTGGACAGGCAGAGCTTGTTGTTCTCTTGCAAGGCTGCCGGCTCCTTGGGGCCCTTCATGGAGCTCCCCACGCTGAGACGGCGCCCCACAGTCGTCACTTGCTTGTAGAACTGCTTCCCAGTGATCTTGTGGTCAAATCCCAGCCAGCTGAACTTTATTTTCACCCTGTTGGGTAGCAAAGGGCATGAGAGCTGCATCACAGGGTGAGGAATCGGAGGCGGCGAAGTTGCAAGAATCAGAAAGGCTGTTTGTGGATTTAAGGCACTAATTTCCATCTACAAACCCACACATGGTTTGGATCCAGAGCACATAGAGATACTTTCCCCTGGCCAATTTGGCACAGGTCAGTGTAGGAATACTTATGACTATGGACAGATTATTTTTCCGTAATTCCTACGCTTTGGAAGGTTCCACTTTCCACTGGTGTTCCCCAATAAAAACATAACGCTAATGGCAGACATAAATCCTCAGCCTAAGAGGTGGTAGCAATAAACAACATGCAAGGGAGTTCCCTGTCCTCTCCTCCAAGCTCTTTGTGCCAGCACCTTCTAGAGATTTAAGAACAGGATTAGCCCTCAAGGCCAGGATAGAGGGAACTTACGAATAGTCCATGTCTTCTGGTCCTGGGAAAGGCTCCAGGGGCCAGTTGAAGAAACAGTTGAGGAAAACAAGTCCTGCACAGCTTGCCCAGACAAGCAGAATAAGGATGAAGGAGACCCCAAAGTCGTATATAACCTGGAAATCACAAGGGAACACGTTTTTGGCTATAAGAGTAGAAAGATCCTTCAACATTCTTTGAGTGAGGTCTGAGAGGAACTGGTGGGAAAGAACATACTGCATTTAAAATGGGTTAAACTCAGGGGGTAACAAAAAACCTCAAGTTTTATGACAAGAACCTTCTCCTTGGAAAGCCATCAGGAGCTTCCCTGCACACCTGAGATTGGCTTACCTTTATATACCCCCCTTAGGCTAACCCTGCAATCAAACATCTCTGGTTCAGAACCAGTAGTGATCTATCCAGGCAGCTCAGGTGACTGTCTCTTGTCCCCTCAGTGCCATCTGCCATCAATAAATTGTCTTCAAAGCCAACCATTGGTGACAAACACACAGATTAAGTGTATGTGTGTGTATTAAAAAACAATACATGTACACAGCGTAGAGACTGAAAAATTCAAGATCTTCTTTAAGAAATTTGTTACTTCAACTTAGCAGTTTTAAAATCTTCTATTTGCTGCACCCTCGAGGCGGTCACTTGGGAAGTCTTTAATACACAGACAGGAACTGAATCTTGCAAATGCACATCTCTAAAAAAGTGCTTTAGCAAGGAGTCCCTCTTTCTTGCCACATTATTGCTAAACGGTGCAAGAGGCCAGCACACCACCCCCAGTCAGGAGCCCTGATCCCATGGCCTCACCTTGACTCCTGGAAAAGTCACAGCAGAGGAAGCATAGGAGCCAATCATCAGAGCAATGAACGTGGAACGAAGGTCACCAAACATGTTGGGCAGCTGGGGAGAGAAAAATCGGTTGAAGCAGGCTGGTGCCAAGGGAACGAGGCTGTCTTGAGACAATACTGGCATTTAGGATTAAGACTCCTGGATAGCAGGATGTGAAGCAGCCAGTTTTACTCAGGAGTGACTTAGCTCTTTAGGATATTACTCTGCAAGTTGCACTGGTGTCTCCAGGGACAGGGAATGTTTACAACCCAAGATTTACGTGCTCCATGACAGTGCTGCTTTCCAGACTGACAGCATAGTTTGCATTGGTCACCTTTAGCACAGGAGTGTTTGCTCCAGCTCTTGCACTGTCTTTAGGAGTCCCTTACCCCAAGTCTGTAGCCACCACCCCTTTTCCTCTCCAAAAAACCCGTGCCCAAGTTCTCTGTGCATCACCCTCTTTTTAAGGGTGTGATTGTCACAGTCTAACACACCCTGCAACACCTTGAACTGCCAGGTTTGTTTATGCACCTGGGGTCAGCACCCAAATCTTTCCAGTAGACCAGAAAGTTCCTGTTATAACAAGAAGGAACAGAGACAAACACGAACCCTGCTGCTGTTTGCATTTCCATTTCTAGCTATCTCCATGGCCCTTCTGTGAGAGCAGACTCTATCTAAAGCTGATAATTTCTGCATCATTCAGATGGCTCAGATCTCCAAGTACCCTATCCTGGAGCTAGGAGTAGGAAAGCAAACACTAGATATCCAAGGGTTTATTGCCCAGCACAGCTACACAGCTGCTGAACTCTGCAGCAAACAACAGCACCTCACGTTGCTATTCCTGCCACCCGCCCCACTTCACTGCCTGGGCTCCCATCAGGTGTGTTGGCATTGCTGGGAGCAGACCAGGCTGGTTCTGCAAGGATCTGTTGGGAAAGCAAACAGATGCTTGGTAGGGACAGCTAGAAGCAGCTCACAGCAGCCACTTCTGCCACCTCAACAGGACAATCACTGCCAGCCCCTGCTTCCACTCAGGACCCAAAAGCACAGTGAAAAAGGCAGAAAGAGCTGGGAAACCTTCCCACCTCTTTTTAAAGGAGGAACTCCCTGTTTTCCTAAACAACCAGACACGAGCAAGTTTCTATCACTCACCAATGATGGCCTGGAAACTGAAAATTTACAGGGAGGAGCTTTGAAGTTGTTGGGGTACAGAGAGCTCGGCTGATACCTCCCAAAGCTGGTCAACGGGCAGAGATTGGGCTGCAGGCAGGCAGATTTCCCTCCCACCTCCTTTTTTTGGGTCACTTACTCCCCAAATTCACTTGAGCATCATCACCACGTCAGCCTCAGAGGACCTCAAAGCAGGACACTGCAGATGCCTTCTAGGACCGAAAGCACAACCAGCATTTTATCTGTGTAAAGAGGCCACTGCACAAAACAATTCAGAGAACACCAGACCGAGCCTGAGCGAGCAAATGCTGCCATCACATTCCCCTTTCCACTGCTGAAAAACAAATCCATCTCTCCCAGGAGCAGCATATAAGGCAAGCAAATCTGGCTTGTGTCACGGCAGGAGCGGCGTGTTTACAACACAAGTATTCCTGTGCAGGCACACTCCAGGATCCATCTGGCTGTTTATCATCCCCGTGTCCCACTGCAGAGCTTCCTATGCAGTGCAGCCTCCAGGTCCTCAGATAACCCCGGGCAGGGAGCAGCAGGAACGATGTGCCGGTGAACCCCGGGCAGAAAAGGCTGCACTGCTCTGCAGAGGATCCCCACACCCCTCCCAGATCCCCGCATGCGGGAGAGCTGCCAGCAGGGCTGCTTTCAGGAGCTGCAGGCAGGAAACGGCGAAGGATCCAAAGGGCTGTTACCAGGCGCGAAAAAATCTCTCCTTGGAAGCAGCGGCCTAAATACACACCCCGGGGAACGGCATCTGCAGGGGACGCGGTGGCTGCACCATGCAGAAGGGCTGGTCGCTGTCACCAGGCTGGGCGTTCGCCTCATCTCAAACACCCCGAACCCAAAATGATGTCCAGAAATGACAACGAGCAGCTGCTCCTGCTGGGGAGCTCCGAGCAGGGCGAGGGCTCCACACACACAGCTGCTTCTTGGCTAGGGCTGCTTCTCCCCAGAGACACAGAGACCACAAAAAGCCTTTCTCATACTGCAGACAAGCAGCTCCCAGGTGGATCCTCCTGCTCTGAGGGCTACTGGAGACACAGAGCAGGCAACCATGTCTGGGAAAATCCGAGTCTGCTTCTGCTTTAATAGAGGCAGAAGTCCTAGAAAGGCTAAAGATTTCCTAAAATCCCAATTTGGCACCAAGCAAGCAGCTAGATTAAAAAAAAATAAATAAATTAAAAAAAACATGGACAGAAGAGATTTAAGGTCTTATCCAACCCTATCAAAACAGAAACTGCAAACACTGAGCACTGGGAAGATAAACAAATGTGAGACTACCTGGAGGGGCAGAGGGGAGGTGAAGGGGAAAAAGTAGTGTATACCCAGACAAAAACCTCTCAGACTGTGAATGCCAACACTGGCAGGGCCTGGGCAGATCTCAGCTGAAGACCAGCTACTAAAATAACATGCAGTATTTACCAAGTCATTTTTCATGCTGTCTTTATAGTAGCAAGCATTGGAAAAAATGAACCACAGGGAAGATAAAAAAACAACAAACCTACAAAAAACACAAGCAGCAGAGAGCAAGTGGGTTCTTTGTTTTTCTGCCACCATAAAGATCCGATCCTCATTCTGTCTTATCCCTGCAGGCCAGAAGTGACTCCTCCACTAAATTCTGCCCGTTCTGGTATGACAACTCCAATTCTGCAAGACCGATGACGACACAGAATCTTAAGCCTCCTGTTTAAAGGTCAGTAATACCCAATGTACTATTAACTTCACATCCTGTCAGGACAGGAACTGTTTCCATACGTAACTTTTACTGGAATCCTTTATTGCAGGTGTGTAATCCTACACTGATAAATAATTTCCTCTTGCAGATTATTTTCTCGTCTGCCCTACAGTGAGTCTAAGATCACCTTTTATAATTTTCTCAGCTTTTTCCTGGAGATAATCCATACACAGAAGATACCACAGCAGTACCAAACCCGGTTTCCCTCCTCTTGCAAGGACTGTTTGAAAGAACAGTGGAAGAAGTCAAAGGGATTGAGAACCTGACTACTGGAGAATGGTATTTTTGTTCAATTAAACTTTGTTTTCCCTATCGGGGGTGTATTTGGAAGTTAGACAGACACTAAAAATATGTTCTCCAGAAAAGCTTCAAACTGCCTGCTTTGCTCAAAGCATATGGAAATTCTTGTTCCCATTCTCCAACAAACAAAAGCTCAGAGAGCCCTAAGTTTCCCTAATATTTCCAAGCAGATTCCCTATACAGAAATGTTCCCCCCGCCCTGATTATAGGGGGAGTTGTTTGCAGCAGAAAATAAGAGCAAAGCAGCTGTAATTCTCTGAAAGGAAAACAGGACAGAGAACAATCTATAAAAGGCTCTTTGTGGTAATTTATCACACATGTTTATTTCTTTGCATGAAATAGCTTCAGAGCAGAACCAGTGCCAGATCCCTGTGCTGCTGTCAGAGCCACCAACACAGATCTGTTTCCATTTCCAATCTTCACTTATATTGGCTAAGACCAAGTCACGAGGCAGAAATCTCCCCTCTGCATATTAACAACAGGCACAGTCTGACCTTGTTCCCAGAACTGGGAACAGCACCATTTGCTCGCTCCCCCCTCCTCCCCAAGCCACAGACAAGGCACCCAGAAACAGCAGCTTGTTTTGGCTCCACAGCCTGCCATGTGCTTTCATGATACCCCGGGGACTTGTTACTGAAAAAGGCTTTAAACTCAAGAGGCAAAGCTTGGTGCAGTGCTGTCCCAGGCTCTAACCCCTCAGAGATCCCCTTTATCCCTTACTGAGGATCCCAGTCTCCTGCCCTGCCACCAGATCACACCACGCAGGTGGCCCAGGAGGTTCCAGCACCTGATGAAGCTCCCGGGGCGAGCACCCAAACCCCACACACTGCAGGGGCTCCCCTACGGACACCCTGCCATGAAGCAGCCACCGTAACCCACCCAGGGTGGCAGAAGAGCAGCTCGTGCACCACTGGGATTGACCCATTTCCTGGAGCACTTCAGGACACTGGCAGCTGGCAGGAGAAGGGAGTCACCTTGCTGTGACTTGTGCACGTGTGTGTTCGGCAGCCAGTGCCTGTGTCAGCCAGAGCGAGTCACTTGGCACCAGGAGCTGCTCAGGGCTCTCCGCCCTGGTAAGGAACATCCTTACAAAGGTCTCTGAGCCTCCCCTTTCAGTGCTTACTCCAAACCTCTGCAGGGCACAGCGCAGGGCACAGTGCGGACAAGCCACGTCACCTGCAGCCTGCAAGCCGTGGACCTGCCATCCCTATGGAATCATGGAATGTGCTGAGTTGGAAGGGACCTATCGGCATTATCAAGTCCATCTCCTGGCCCTGCACAGAACACCCCAACAATCCCACCATGTGCCTGAGAGCGTTGTCCAAATGCTCCTTTGAACTGCCGGGTTTGGTGCTGTGACCACTGCCCTGGGGAGCTTGTTCAGGGCTCAACCACCCTCTGGGTGCTTGATATCCAACCTAAACCTCCTGACTCAGCTTCCTGCCATCCTCCCATGTCACGCTGCCTGTCTCTGTGGGCCACAGCTGGAAGGGAGCCACAAAGTATCACCGTGTCACCACAGAAGGTGGCTCTTGGCACAGCCACTGCGAGCTCCCCTGCTTGCAAGCAGAACCACACAGTGATCTGCCAACCACCAAACTACAGCTGCTTCGAACAGACACCAGCACAGCTACGCTGTGATGCAGGTGAAGAAGTGCTTTCCTCCCACTTTGGATTATTTCTAACCACATTCACACGCCCCAGGTACCGAAATGCGCAGCTGTGCAGGGAGGCACGAGCAGCAACATCCAACTCTGGGTTTGAGAAGGCAGGCCTGAAGCCACCTCAGCTCTTTATAAAACACACTGATGTCTGGAGGGGATGGGCTCCACCTGAGGCCTCCCTCTGTGATCTCCCAACATCACTACTGGCTTCAGACCTCCTCAAGGCTTGGATCTCTTCTGGGAAGATCTGACCTTTTTCCTGCAGTTCCTCAGCACTGCGGAACTGGCTCACTAATGAGGGTACTAATAAGTGGCTTTGCTCACTTCTTCTGGTGCTAAAAGCCACAGTACAGCACATCCAAAAATTTCTTCCTTATCCTTGCCCTCACTCCTATCATCACCAGTGTTTCTAAAATAATGTGTGACCCCTCAGTAATCACCCAGAGAGACAAGAATCAACGCTGGCAGCAGCAGGGTGGGAATCCCCCCCCTCTCCCACAGCAGTTCTGATGTGCTCCTCTCTTCCTTGCTTTCATTTGAAGCGTGGCAGGATGACATTTGCCCCTCAGTTCCTTGGGATCACAGCCAAGGCTCCCAGTGAAGAACACCCCATATGAAGGAGAGAGCAACATCTGCACAGAGTTTTGAAAGCTTTGAACACATGAAGGCAACAGCAGCAGCAAAAATCACAGTACACAAAGTGCTCTCAAAACCCAGCCTCTGACAAATTTAGGTCTCAGGAGTTCAGCCAGTATCTAAGCCTTGTTCAGCCAGTGCCTAAGCCCTATTAAATTAGAGGTAACTTTAACAGGAAGTTTTACTTTAACAGCAAGTTCAAGGTAGCGCAGTCCAAATCTGAAAGTTTTTGACCACAGCTCAAAAAACATCAGTGCTTCCCATGCTCGTTTTCTGGGCGACTTTCCACCCAGCCCTGTTTCAGCCACGCTGACAACAATCAGGGTAATGAGGCAGAAAATAAAGCAGTTATTTGGAGAATGATACTGCTTCTGCCTCCAGGCAAAAAGAACCCCAAAATGTAGAGATCCAGCTGACAGTTGTTGACCTAAGCTTTCCATACAATGCATAAACTAAACATATCCAAGAAAGCTGCACAGATGGAGCTGGACACGTTCAACAATGCAGCATTTCTAAGGAAACCTGCAAGGGACTCTCACCCTTCTGAAAGCAAAAGCTTTTTGTGCTCAGGAACAACCACTCTCCTGGGGTGAGGTGCAAACCGTGCTTGCAGAAAGCTGGTCATACCCAGCTGCAAAGGGTTTGTGCCCTGCTGATTCCTCCTGCAGTATGTCAGTGCTAAATCCAGTGCAAACACATGTCCAGCCTGTGCCAAGTAGCTGAGCACTGCACATACAGGCATATGACAATGTTAGTCCTAGACAAAAACACTTCCTTTTTACCCCCCAACCTTCACCTGAGATACAAGGGGCAGGTGAAAAAACAGGACTGGGGAAAACAAGCCTTAGAAAAACAACCTAGTTCTCAGTCCCAAGGGTGACTGACCCTTTGTACCAAACACAAACACGTGCTATTCGAGCCACAGGCAGAAGATCCCCTTTGCTCTTTCCTGCCAGCCCAGCTCCCAGGCACAGTAAGGGACAGAACAGTCAGGTAATAACTCTTCACTTACCGTGAGTGATGTGAAGGTCATGCACATCCCACCAAATCCATTCAGAGCCAGTGCAATGAATATCAGCACAGACAGAGCTGCAACAATAAAAAACCTGCCCTTAGCTTTCACTAGGGTGGGGAGGGAAAGGAGACAAGAGCCCTGAGGGCTTTGGCCCTGACACACAAAACCATCAGTGGATCAACACCCTCAGGACATGTCACTTGGATCAACACCCTCAGGACATGTCACGCTGTTCTTGACCCAGCACCCATCTCCCCAGCCACAGAGACCAGGAGGGACAGGGCTTTCCTCCAAAACAGAGTTTACGATGAGATCATCTTTCCCCAGAATGGAAAGGTTTCTTTTTTCTGAGGAAATGACTAGCTGATGCAGTTTGTCTGATGGGTCTTAAAGGGAAGATTTACTTGAAAGAGCTGGATTCAAAGTGTCATGTCGCTACCTGGTCTTGAGGAGCAGGCTCCAGCTATCCCTGGCAAGAAAACAACTTACACATTGTGTGCTATTACCTATTTCCCAACCCTGAAAAAGCCATGAACTTGTTTGCAATTGCTCCTTTACAGGACCTGTTCCTGCCCAATCACAAAGCTGAGAGAGCTGGGTATCTCAGAGGTTTGGCCCTTGCTGTGCTCTCCACTGAGTGTTGTGAAACATCAGCCCTCCCCAGAGCCACCTGGCTCCCTCAGGCTGGCAGAGGCTCAGTTTGTGTCCTCAGCAAGATCCCCAGTGCAGCACTGGAGGTGTGACAGTCTGAGCACACTTGTCTACTTCCCCAAAATCCCCAAGCCACAGCCCCAGAGTCCTCCCAGCTCAGCAGAGAGACACTGACTTACAGTCTGGGTTACTGGCACCGTACGCCATCAGCACACAGGACACAGCAAAGCAGGCACTGAAAGGGAACCAGACCCGTGAGTTTCTCACAGACAGCAGTAAATGCAGTAAATTACATCTGCCTCCCTCTCCTCAGTGCCTCGTTAAGCAAGCACGGTGTCATTTCTCTAAGAGGGAGGGAAGTTGGCAATCTGGAAAGAAAAAGCCAGGGAAATACCCAAATGCTACAGACAAACAAGTATTACAGGCAAGCCTTGCACAAGGGCTGAGGCAGGAACTTTTCCTCCCAGTAATGACGCAGCTCTGGCTGGACTCAAATTCCCCACAGAGCTTTGCCAGCCCGCACCCTGAGGTGACCAAAGACAGCAGCAGCCTTTGTCTTGAGCCCCAGCTGTGGTCACAGCACTCACAGCTCCTCTCTGGTAGGGTCTGAGTCAGAGACTTGCCCTGGTTTTCCCACTGTGCCTACAGGCCAACTTGGGTTTTGATCGAGTTCACTGCATTAAAATCGTGACAATTGAAACAGCGCTGGGATCCACTGAGCCCAACAAGTCACTAATCCCTACGTGCCACAATGGAAGCAGCTAAGACCTTGTTATTTAAAGTAGAAAGCAACACACACCACATGGAAGAGAAGGGCCCTAGAAAAGGCAACAGGATGTGTTTATTCCCAAGTTAACTCCCCAGCCTGCAAACAATGATGTAACATCTTGGTTTTGTGCCTCTCAGGACACAGCTCCCAGCTCAAGGAGAAAGCTCCCCTCCATGACTCACAAATGACTCTCCCTCCAGGCTCCATCTGGATGAGGATCACAGAGCAACACTGGAGAGCTGAAGTGTGGACATGGAGTTCCAGGCCCTTCCCTTATGGAGCAATTCACTGTGCTGGCTGAAAACATCCCAGCCCTGTGCGTGGCCACCAGCTACCAGCAGATCCCATCCCTCACACTCTTCCCAATGCTGCGGGGACACCACAACAGGCAGGGCACCCAAACAGCACCCATCTGCCCCACACAGTGTGGGAATTCACCCCTCAGCCCACCCGGGGAGCCCAGGACACCCACCTGCCCAGCAGCCGCAGCTTGCGAGGCCCGTACTTGTCCATGACAATTCCCAGGGGCAGCGTGATGGCACTGAGCAGGAAGGACCCAATGGTGAAGGCCAAGTTCAGCATTTCATCCTGGGCGTTGCAGGAAGGCCATTTGTGCTCTGAAGATGTGCTGTTCTCGTGTTCAGAGCTGTTGTTGGTGTCCTCTGCACGGGACGAGAGAGGAACGTGCGTTAGGATGGGGTTTGTGGCAAGGAGGGAAGAGAAAAGCCCCACACAGAGGGTGCCACAACACGCTGGGCATGCAGCCTCCACATTCCACTTTTTATTAGAATCAGTGAGAAATGGAGGAGGAGAGCAGCAGGAGGACAGGGGAAACACGATGAGCTCTTCTTTGAGCAGGAAAAGGATGTGCAGGCATCCAGGGGACAGGCATACCATGCAGCAGCAGGGTAAAAACCTAACGATGGAGGTTCATTAATTTATTAGAGCAACTCTACAGCAAGGGCCTGGCAATTACAGGGGACTAAACCCAGCAGAACCTGAAGGGACTAACACAAAAACAGGTTCCTCCTAGTTTACAGCCGTCATGTCCTCATCACAGATTTTTCCCTAAACAAAACTAGTGACGGCTACAGCCAAATCAGTTATTTTGGTTCCAGACTCTGGGCTGACAAGGCCTGGCACTGAGCAACAGCCTGCTCAAATGAAAAGCTTCCTACCCTCACTGCAGGCATCGGGATGAGGAATGGCTTTGCAGTAGCCACCCCTGCTTTGGCTGCCCTGGCTCTGAAAAATCCTTCCTGGATTTAATTACCCTGCTCCCAGGAGGGCTGGCAGCTCACCTGCCTTCTCCACTTGTCAAAGGATTGATGCATCTTTTAACTCTTGCCCTATAATTAGCATTTTCTATTCTTTCAGAGCGGGTTTAGGTCATGCAGATCAATAATAACTCCAGCCTTCTGTTCCTGCCCTTGCATGAGGAACTCTGCATGCAAACTCCCACGCTCAACAGAGCCCACGTTGTGTAACCGAGACAGAAACAGGACGGTTGAAAATAAAAAAAAAAAGAAAGGAAAGAAGTTCCCTTTTACTGCCTCATGTCCACTCTTCTCCTGCTACATGCCTATCCCAAGGCTGCTTACAACTCCTCGAGTGAGTACGTGGGCCTTGAGACTTTCATGAACCCACAGCTCCAGTGCACTCCACCTCTCCTTCTCCCAGCACTTATCTGACTTGTAAGTAACTTTTGCTGATATGACAAAGCACTTGCTCTCTTGCTGCTGCAAGCCAGTGATATAAAACACTCTCCTCCATATTTAATAACTCATCTGACAAAGTTCAGTATTAAAGGAGGAACAGGGAGAGAAGTCACCTACATAACCATCAGCGTGAAGTGAGACTGGAGACTCCCAGCGAGCCCTGGTTAGTTAGTTAATTAGCAGGAATCCCTCATGTACAAGTGATTTCAGATTCACTGCTTGGTGTGGCTCGTAGAGGAGATTCCTTTGGCTGCTCTTGCCCTCCCTCCATCTCTAGAGATCACACAGCCCCATCTTGCAACTCCTTCTCTTCCACCCAAGCCTCAGCACCACTGCAGTTACTGGTTTCACCCTGCCTCTCCCAGCTGCCCAAAACTACCCTCCCAGCTTTGTGTCCACTGCAAACAAATCTCACTCCACCTTCCAGCCATCAGGTATCAGCAGGAATTCAGCTGATATCTGAGGCCTTTGAGCTGCCTGCAAACCTTCCTCTGCCCCCTCCCAGCACTCCAGGGAAGGCACAGGCATTTCTCTCCATTTATTTACATTCTTCCCACCAAAATCCTCGATAAGATGGTCTCAAACCGCCTTCACGCAGCAATGACTGTTCCTTCCCACTGCCTTGTGCTCCAGATAATTGAATCTGTCCCTTCTCTTGTCCTGCTACTCATGGATAGCCAGAGTAAGCAACAAATATCCCCAAAACACCCCATGTCCCACCAGCAGCATCCCTTTGGCAGGGAGGGCAGCTCTGCAGCCTGAGGCTCCCGAGTCACATCCTTAGAAATCTGTCCTGGACAGACCTGGGAGGCTCTCTGCAGTTTTCATGCTACCTCTCAATCTTTTTCATCCACCTTTCCCTCACAGTCTCCTCTTGGTGTGGCCCAGGATCTTAAACACTGTCTTGAGACAGCAGCTGTGTGAGGCAGGCACAGCCTCACAGCTTCACCCACAGCAGCAAGGCCTTTTGGGCTCTCCACAAAGATAAATTCATAGGAAACAGATGTGGGTGAGAGGTTAAACTCGGGAAAACAAGGGGAGGGGGGGAATTGAGAAAGTAGTAGCAGTTTCTCTGTGTCAGCACTGTACAGAGATAGCTCAGCTGTGGAGTGGAAGAAGGGTGGAGAGCCACGAACAGTGCAGTGACCTTATAACTTCTGGCTGCAGATGTGAAAGCATCTGTAACCCTCCACAGAAAAAGACCTCAAAAGAGAAATATTCAGTATTTAAAGCTGAAGTATATGAATTCCTGGAAGTGTCTTGACGTGTACAGCAGTGACACAACCCCAAGGAGCTCCCACACACGCTGCAGACCCTCCGATGATGCTGGCAGTGGGCACAGCTCAGAAACAGCAAGGGAACTTGGCCCTCTCCAAAGAGTTGCTGCAGCCAGAAGGGCTGGGAATAGGGCACCAACCTTCAGTCCCTTCACCCTGTACCAACCACCTTGTTTACGGCTGCTCAGTGCCAACTCCAAGGAGGGGCCAGGCAACAGTGCTATGTGGAAATACAAATCGTTTGTGAAAATAGAAGCAGCCTCTGAGCAACAAGAGAAGATCCGCTGAGGCGTAATGGAAATGATTCAAGCAGCCCTTGGCACCCTGACATGCTCTGATCCTTTGAGCCACCTCCATAAATAGAACATTTTGGAGGGGCTGCAGGTATTTGCAGCGCACACGGGGTCCAGCCAAGGGCCATCTCTTCCAGGAGCACAGATTCAGGTGCCAGCAGGTCATCAGCACAAGAGAGTGAGTGGCAGCACAGGACACACAGGAGGAGTTTAATGGGCACAGAACCTGCCTAACTACTCACCTACCTAATTCACCTGGTTACAGCAAACAGCAGTTCCCCTGGATCACAGCACGCCACACTCCCAGGATAAGTCTCCTACATGCCTGGCTCCCTCTGCAGCAGCGCTCTGGGGAAGGGCTGGCTCTGTGCCCACAGCTGTGCCCTCCTCAAATTCCCTTGCCAAGTCCACCTGCATGCCAGGTCTGACAGGAGGGAGAGACACCCGGGCAAGGAGCAGCACAGAGGCTGAGCACGCTCACCGCTGCCTCACTGACAAGCCAGAAGCAGCTCCAAGTCTTTACCAGCAATTACAAGAACATGCTGCCTATTTTTACAGCACTCCCCATACAAGCAGCAGGATTTCTACTGCCCAATTAGTAGTTCCAGTTACTATTTAAAGAATGACAGCTTAGGTGAGAACAAGGCTGCCTCGGTAATCATTTATGTCAAGATCATCACTGGGATTTGTTCGGGCTGGAACATTTAAAGTCATCCTTTCTCCCAAATCAGGTGGTGTAGGTTCCATGAGAGGGTCAATCATTAACTACTCTTTACTGACCTCTGCAAATCTCAGGCACACACACAACATTGCCAGAGGAACGAGTCTGGCTTTTTCAGGAGCCATCTCAGATGGCAGAGAGGAGGTTTCCTTTCATCTTGTTTCATGGATCAGACTGAGCCAAGCAGGCAAGACACCCCCAACCACCCTGGCAATAGCTGTGTGGAACAAAGCCTGCACACCCTCATTTTCCTCCTCTTTTTTTATATTTAAAAAGAAAAAAAGAGAAAAAAAAGGAGGGAAAAAGAGAGAAATTGGGGCCAAAGAACTGGGAGTACTGGTTAAAAAAATATCACCATGAAAGACATGTGCAAACAACTGATCTGCAGTCTGCCCACATAAGAACATGTTTTCTCTTTTCAGGATGGTGTCATACTTCTGGGAACTGGGAGGAGATGTTCTTGCTTTCTACTGCAAACGCAATTTATTCGGGTTTCCCTCCACTTGCACTTCCAGGACCCCCTTTCTGGGCAGCCAGCTGACAACGTCACAGAGCCCAGGCACAACCTCCAGTCAAACTCCCTTCCTTCCCCAGCTGTGGTTTCCTCTTTGCAGCACCTTCCCCAGCAGCTGCTGATCGGCACAGCGTGTTTCCTGTACAAACTGATCATTTACCACGCTTTCTCTCTTCCTGTTTACAGGGTCACCTGTGCAGCCTTTCCACAAACCGTTGCTGTATCTCCTCAGCGTGGAAGGGACCTTCGGGCTGCAAACTGCCAATGACAGACTCCAAATAAGTGAGAGGAAAGAGCTGCAAGGTAGCACCTTCCCCCTATGGCCGTGTTAAAGCTCGTTAACTTGCCCTAAGTGAATTAGCTTATCATCCCTCTGGTATTCTGCAGCCCTGTCTTAGAGGAAAGCCCTCTGTGCCCCTTATCTCTGCTCTTTGTGAGCAGATTATCAAATTCAGGACTTTTTTTTTTTTTCTTTTTTAAACGTGTTTCAGACCCAAGCTTTGAGCTTCCCAATCCCAGAAACATCACAGCAAAGCAAGGCCCTGAACTGATCAAATTCCCCAAGAGCTGATAAAGCCCAAATCCCGATAAAGACTGTGGAGTCAGCACTTGCACCGAATAAAAGATGCTGCTTCAGTTGGTTAAAGGCCAAGTAGTAGTGTAGTAAAATTAAAATGGGAACAAAGTGCTACTACCAGACTCCTTGTCAGCGAATTTCAAACATACCTCTCAGGAGGTGGCCAAACTGGTACAACCCCCCACTCAAACCCTGTTGCACAACTGCTTTAAAAATATTTGTTATTTCGGATTTTTTTTTTCTAGGTGTCCATCTCCACTCTCAGGCAACTGAGTTAAGAGTCCACTGGACCCCACATTTGTACAGTGGCTGAGTAAAATCCAACACCAGAAGCTAAGGGCAACCAAGGAAAGTGGGTGATTCATGGAGTCCTTCATGAACTGCAGTCACTTTCTGGGCAGCTGCTGTTACCTTCAGAGAAGAGCCTGCAGAAAGGACAAGGTCTAGTTTTCCTTTTCATTGGACAGCATCACAAAGTGCAAGAGCTTTTGCTGACAAACCAAAAGCCCTGCCAAGAACCTTTGGCTCATTAGGAAAAGTCTATTTTTTTTTTTTTTGCAATACTTACAAGCACAGAGCAGCATTAGGAACAACAAGTGCCCAAAGGCTACTAGTTATAATTTGTTTGCACCAGCCTTCCAGCCAAGCACCCACTCTGGCTGCAGGATTCAATAGGTTGAGCTGAGAAGCAACCACTGGGCCATCCTAATCCCAGCAAAGGTCAAACTCAGTTTAAGGCTGGTCATTGAGAGCCTGCTCTCTCCACACTCAGAGCCAGGACCCTACCAAATTGTTACAATGAGGACAGACACAGAGAAAATAAAGGGAGTAAGTATGGATGAATGTGCTGCCCATCACAACGATGGCCAGATATTTGAGGAACAGCGAGAACAATTTGACCACATTAAATTTCTTTTCAGGGATTAGGTTCTCTTGCCTCCGGGCACAGTTTGGTCACTGGGAGGAAGCAATTACCCCCAGGGCAGAAATTTCACAGCAGTCCAAACATTTGCACCTTCCCTGTGGTCTGTGCCATGGGCATTCCCCTGGGGAGAGCCAGAAAAGCCACAGATTAGCAAACCGGGCTGAGAAGCCAAGGTGAATCTCAGTGATTTGGGACAAAGGTGGGTGAAATGAAAGCAATCAAAGAGCAGGAGGTGGGCCCCAAGTGAAGCTCTTGTCAGCAGAGCACATCTCAGGAAGCAGACAGGCATAAATGCCTGCTCTCAGAGACAGTCAGCACTTGCTTATCAGCTCTCATGTGCCTTATCTGGGTGGCAGAAAGTCTCCACCTGATGGGTTTAATGTGATCTCTCACACAGGCCTATGACAAAGTCTCCACGATTTGGAGAGCACAGCCCTGAACAGAAGCCCTGCACAGCCTGCAGCTGCTGAGGACTCTGCTCACAGCCTGGAATGGTACCAGAGACTCGAGTGACGTGGACACACTTGAAAGCACCGCACTATGAGCCGAGCACAGGATGGAGATCAAGCAGCCAAACTACAGCTGGTAGAAGACACAAACACGTGTTTACAAGGTGCACCAGCCCAGGCTCCACAGGACTGAGGAGCCACCCTCAGGCACACAAAGCAGGAGAGATAAGAAGCAGCTGATGAATGAGCAAAACCTAAAGTACCATCACAGCCATTCACAGTCATCTTTTGCTTGGACTTTGTTTCCCACACTTCAGGTTTCCCCCACTACAGGTCCATGCACTTATTCCCAACTCTTTTTCTTCCCCTACTGCTTCCTCCTCCAGCCCCAAATGGACTGATCCAGTCTAATCCACCACCATACATCACTAGACAGAACTCAAACACCTCCTGCCTCTCTTCACTCTGCTCTTCCCCTCTCTGAACACATGCAAGCCTTCAGTCAGTACAGCAGCTTCCAAATCCACACCACACCTTTACCCCCAGGCTCCTTCTAACCTCACTGTCCACCCTACCACACTGTGGAATTCCCCAGACCACAATTCTTCCCATGACCAGGCTGGGGATATGTATCTACCTCCAGGTTGTTTTTCCCAGGGTTTTCCTTCCCACACCAGGAGTGCCTCTTCCCTTCCAGGCTCTGTCTGCAACATGGACAGTTACTTCCTCTGGCTGGGGCAATCTCAAGCCCTCATAGAGACACAGCCTGATCTGAACAATCCTGAGTGCTTGAAGAGGAACAGAACATCAGCAGCATTTACTTCTGCAAATTCTTCTTAACAGCAGCCCTGGACTCTCCTAATCTTATTGCCACTCACACTACTTTCCTCCCTGCCACTAAATACAAAGTGCCTATAAAGTTCCTCCTATAAACTCAGGAAACTCTGCCCACCAACCATCACCCTCCAGAACCCATCCAGCCTTTCCCTGCAGAGGAGGAACTCATGCTCAAGTGGAAAAGGCCATCCAGAAAAGCTCCACTTAATCGTTAAAGCTTCTTTTTCCAATCACTCTGCAGAGCAGCAGCAACTACAGGCACATTGCACCATGACAAGAATGCCACTGGTTTTGGAAAAGGGGACACATCCCTTCCTTCTATCCCAGCACCGACACGGAGCTCGGCCCTGCTGCAGCCAGTTCCACACCATCCCAAAACAGGGAAACCACGCCAGCAAAGCTCAGCAGCAACTTATTCACACCAGTCCCCAGAGCATCCTTACCTTGCCCGTAGCACAGGTAGGAATAAAACCCTTCTGCCTTCAGCATGATGAGGAGGGACCCCCATCCCAGCAGGACAGCAGAGAAGAGCAGGTTCTCGATGATGGCTGTGAACGCCATCCACCAGCGCCGGCGGTGGGCCGTGGCAAGTGTGGGGGCCATGGCTGCTTGGAGAGGTGGCCTCCTTCAGTCTCAACCTGCAGGGAGCAGAACAAGCTTCAGTGAGCCCACAGACACGGCACACGCTGCTCAAAAAGCGTTAAGAGAGCACGGCTTAACAGGAGACCTCCCTAGAAGCGCGCGAGCAAACCCGCCCGCTGAGCGTCAGGCACTCAGGTGCAAAACTAGTTTTTGCAGGTACCAGCTTGCCAAGCGACCTGGAGGGATGGGGGAGAGCACAGGTGCCCTTGGAACAGCCCCTCCAGTGCACACTCCACGCGACACAGGAGCGCTCAAGGACTCTGTTCCACTTCCTGAGCAACAGGTATGAAAATGCAGCAAACAGCAACTGCCCCGAGCCCACTCCCCCATCACCTGGACTGGGCAGGCAGCTCATTTGTAAGGCAGTGAGGAAAAATGTGCCAGAGTGGGGGGGGGTTCAGCCAGCACCCCAATCTCCCTGCTTGCCAGCAGGCAGAGGCAGGGACAGGGAACACAGCCCCACATCCCTAATGGTGGCTTTAAATGAGCCAACAGCTCTGCCCTGCCCCACACAGGGCACAGATCTGCTCCAGAAGGTGAGTGAGGGTCCTATATATGCAATTTATACCACCCATGGCTCATCAAGGAGCACCTTTTGCTACCTGCCAGACCACCCAGCTGGGACACAGATCACTGGCATCTCCAGGTTGCCCCACAGATGCTGTGGCCAGATTAACTGTCTCCCAACTCCACTTGTCCCAGTCCCTGGGTCCCACGGGAGAGAGCAGCAGATTTGGAAGCAGACCTGGCTGGCCAAGGGGCAGCTCTGGGGAACCCTGAGGTGAGGGGGCAACCCCTGGGTCACAAGGCAGGTGACCATTTTAGACAAGCTGAGGCTTTTCCCAGGCTGAGCACACCTCAATCCAGCACACTGGGGAAACCAGCTGGCCACACACCCAGCCAGGACACCTTCCCAGGGTTTTCCATGGGGCAGAGGCCCCAGCCTGAGGTGCTCTGGTGGGATGGGGGTCTGACCCAGCTCCCTGAAGTGGCGCCCCTTCCAGCTACAGAAACTGGCTCAAAGATCCCTGCCCTAAAAGCCAGCCTGCAGCCGTGCCCCCCCCATGGCACAGGCCCCAGCGCAGCCCACGACGCATTTCCTCCATCACCTCTCCTCCTCTTCCTCATCCCTGCACCCGCAGCCCCCTCCCCAGTTCCAGTCCCGCTCCCCAGCCCAGAGCCCCTCTCTGCGACAAGAGGTGCAGCCCTGCCCTCCCCCTGCCAGTCGCCCCGCAAGCACATCCCGTTCTGCCCAGCACACCCCGCTCATGCTCTGCGCCAACCCCGCGCCCCGGCCCCCAAACAGCCCCGCTGCATCCCGCTGCCCCTCCCCATCCAGCCCCCCACCCGGCTCTGCCCATCCATCCCCTCTCCCTCCGCTGCCTGTCACGAATCCCCCATGCACCCCCGGACCCCTATACACCCCGTCACCCCAAATACCCCTCCTTCCCTGCAACAACCCCCACAACGCACCCAGCCGTGCAAACCCCTCCTCGCTCACACCCCACGCAAAACCTCCCCGCGCAAACCGCACCCCGCGCGCCCTGCTCCAAGGCCCCGGCGCGCCCCGGGGCTCCCCTATGGAGCCCCCCATCCCCTGATAGCCCCTGCTGCCATCCCCCGTGCCCGCTCACCGCCGGTGCCGCACCTGCTCTGCTCCGCGCCGGTCCCGCCCGGGCTTTTTATCCCTCCTCCGAGGCAAAAACAGGCGCCGCCGCTGATTGGCCCCCGCCCCGCCCAATGGCGGCGCGCGCCGGTGCCGCTGGGGCACGTGCCGGCTCGCCCCCCTTCCCACCCCCCGGATCCCCGGGATCCACTCGGGATCCACTCGGGATACCCGGGACCCACCCCCGGGGACACTCGATATCTGCCACCAGCACCCCCCGGGATCCACCCGATACCCCCAGATATCTCCCCCCGGGACCGCCAGGGATTTTCCCGGTACCCCCCGATATCTCCCTCCGGTACCATCGGGATCCCTCCGGTAACTCCCACTGGTGGGGGAGTTACTCCCACCCTCGGTACCCCCCGGGATCCTTCCGGTACCCCTCGATATCTCCACCCGGCACAACCCCCCACCCAGTACCCCCAACCCTCGGTACCCCCGATACCCCCCCCCCCTTAGTACCTCCTGATATCCGCCATCCGGTCCCCCCGGTGTCCCCACCCCCGATATCTCCCCCTGATACCCCTCGGCATCCCCCTGGTACCCCCACCCGGTGCCCCCTCCCCGGTATCCCCCTCCTCCCGTATCCCCCAGGTCCCCTTGCCCGGTACCCCCGGCCCGGGCCGTACCTGGTCTCTCCCGGGACACAACACCCGCCGTGCGGGCAGGGCACACCGGGGACACCCACGCGGGGACCGTGACACGCACCGGCACCCCCGGGGACGGCGAAGGCGGCGGGAGGTGATGCGGGATGAGCCCCGCCGGCTGCTCCCCGCCCCGCCCCGCCCACCGGGTTCGGTGCCGGTCTCCGCCGGTCTCCGCCGGCCCCGGGCGGCAGCCGGAGGAGCCGCACCGCGCTCACTGCGCGACAGCGGAGCGGCTCCTGCTCGCACAGCCCGGCCGGGCCACACGGAGCCGTGTCGGTGACAGCACCTGTGCTGTCGCTCCTCTGCCGCGGTTACAGGCACCGGATCCGCCCTGTGAAACCCACCTGTCCTGCAAATCCCACCTGTCCTGCTCCCTTGACCAAGGAGGGAGCAGAGAAGCTGCTCTTCCCTCGTTAAAAGGCTGGTTAGGGAGCAGGCACCCAGGACTGAGCACTCTCATGGCACAGCTGGACTGGGGCAATGAGCCCCTGAGACACCCCAGCTCACAAGCACAGTCAGCTCGTTCATGGAACCACAGAATGGTTTGGGTTGGAAGGAACCACAGAATGGTTTGGGTTGGAAGGAACCTTAAAGTTCATCTCATTCCAGCCCACTGTCATGGGCAGGGACACCTTCCCCCAGACCAGGTTTCTCCAAGCCCTGTCCAAGCTGGCCTTACAGAGATCCCAGCAACTTGTGCCAGGGCCTCCCCACCCTCACAGGATAGATTTTCTTCCCGATATCTAATCTAACCCTGCCCTCTAGCAGTGGGAAGCCATTCCCCCTTATCCTGTCAAAGTCCCTCTCAAGCTCCCTTGGAGTCCCTTTACCCACTAGAAGGTGCTATAAAGTCTCCCTGGAGTCTCTTCTCCAGGCTGAACAGTCCCAGCTCTCTCAGCCTGTCTCCACAGCAGAGGTGCTTCAGCCTCTGATCATCTTCGTGGTCTCCTTTGGACTTGCTCCAATAGATGCACATCCTTATTTTGGGCTCCTCACAGCTGGACAGAGCGCTCCAGGTGGGGCCTCAGGAGAGCAGAGGAGAGGGGAGAATCCCCTCCCTGGACCTGCTGGTCACACTGCTGGGGATGCAGTCCAATTTCATGAAATAAAAGTAAAATCATCACAAGCCACAAGAGCAGCTTCACATCCGAGCTCACCAGAGCTCTGCTCTCTTCTTCTACTGAATTTATTTTCACAGCATCCTTCTGTGGGATTTCCGCTCCTGCCATAAGCCCATCCCTCACTAGTGAGGCCCTGGGCCAGAAGAGGTGTCCATGTATCCCTAGAATCATTACAGGGAACATTTTCTCAGCCAAAGGAGTTGAAAATAGCACTTGTGATAGGTAAACACCCCAGAGGAAGCAGAGGGACTTTTACCCACCACCCCTTTGAAAGGGGCAGGCTGGGGTGGGTGGGAAGAGGAAACTCCTCGGCCTTGGCTGTGGGAGAAGGGTAAAACGCTTCAGCAGCTGGAAAGTGGATTTAAGCCAATGCAAACAAACAAACAAAAGCCCAAAGAAAACAAGGCAGCCTGGATCAGTGCCATGTGTTTAGCAGAGGTAGAGGAAGGCTGAGACAGCGGGAGACCCCGGGAGACCTGAGCACCCAGACCTGGTTGCTGTGTCCAAAAAACACAAACCCCGATAGGAGGGAGCACGAGGAGGGCTCAGAGGATGTTTGGGGACACGGGAACCCTTTGCCACAGCAAGAGCACAGAGGGGGCTCAGGTTTCCTATCCTAGAAGGAGAAAAGAAGCTATCAGGTGATTCATGATCAGCTATAAATACCCCAGGGTCTAAGTAAACAGCACAGGGAGAAAAATAAAGTGAAGCCGAAGAACAGCACTGACACAGAGACACATTTTTAGAAACTGGCCAGGAATGAGCTTAGGCTGGAAGGGAGGTGACAGCTCCTGCTCTGACAGAGCCACTGGAATAAATGACATGGTCCTCTTCAAATGCTTGGGAAGTTTGGGAAGAGACACAACAAGGCTGCAGGTTAATGGACAGACCCCTGTGGCCATGAGGTACAGCTCGAGCCTCTGTTCCTACCTGTGAGCCAAGAGCTGCCCCAGCAGAGCACAGACACCTCTCTGCTTACAGACAGGACCTGCACACGGATCACTTCCCACTGTCTGTCTTAAATCCACTGCAGCAGGATTTGGAAAGTCAGAGATCCAGCACGGGAAGGCATCAAACCCTCTGTCACCCGCCAGCCCTGCAGATCTCCCGCATCCAGGATTAAAACCACGGCAAAGCCTGACTGGGAGCATCCTCAGCAAGAAGACACCAGCGCAGCCACGCTGCCGGTGTGTGCATGGGCAGCCACTCGCTGGAAATCCACAGCTCCTTTCCCTCGCACCGCCCAGACAGGACGAAGATGCTTCATCTTCAAGCCGGGGAAACATCCTGCCTCGGGCTCAGCACCAGAGGTAGCGGCGCTCTCTCCTTCTCTGCTTTCAGTGGCAGGAGGGCTGTCAGGTTGCTGTCAGCTATTTACATGCTGTACCCAGGGCAGACCAGCTCACGTGACGTTCACTTCTGGCACAACACTGCTCAGCTCACAGGCTGAAAATATCCACCCGATTAGGGGGAAAAAATGGCTGCTTATAAATCAAACGTCCCTGCCTCCGTAATGAAACTGTCAAAACAAAAAATAGCCTGTGCAGAGCAGAGGTCTGGCCAGGCTGCTGCTCCAGTCCTGCCAGGGTGAGCATTTTTACTTGTATACCGGAATATTTGATGTTATAATCGTGGCAGTGGATGATTCCACTGCAGGAAAGAGCGCTTCATGCTGGCTGCAAAATTGGAAGCCTCCCAGCCAAAATCAGGACTGTGGGGATTTGGTGCTTTGCATTGTGGAGAGGCACCCATGAAAAGCAAAAGGGTAAAAGCAAAACCTACTGTGTTTTCTGAAACACCCCAAACCCTGAACCCCAAATGAGCAGTGCCAGACCAGAAGGGTTCACACGGAGCTCTGCACATGACATGTGAGGTTCAGGCTGCAGTGTAGGTGCTCTGGGTGCTCACAGCCCACTCACATTCCCTCTGCACTCCTGTCTCCAGCTCTGTGGAGAACTCAGCTCACTGAGTGAGAGTTCAGAATTCAGCAGAACCAGAACATGTGAAACAAACCACCAAAAAACCAAAAGCCTAAGGCCACCAAATGTTTCCACACTTTGGAGAATATTCCTGGCCATGTCTTTGATTCAGAGGGTGGTTGGGAAACCCATCTCCTGAAGGGGTTTGGTAACATTTAATTTTCATTCCAAGGCTTTCATGCCACATGCAAAATAACAGAAAAATGTACAATAAACCTTCTGCCACTTAGACACATCTACAGCCAGATCACACTGCAATCCTCTTGGACATCTCAACCGCCTTTACAGCAGGAACGAGGCGTGGGAGATGACAGGAGCTCAGGGCACCCGTGGAAATCCCATTTTCCGTGCAACTTTTGTCCTTATTGGGACCAGCACAGTGCTGGGTGTGCAGGTTGATGGGCACTGCCCAGCTGCCACGTTTGCTCTCGCATGGCTGCAGCTTGGTATTGTGTGGAGTTTTACACCCCATGCCATGCCACAAGCCTTTCCATGAGCTGCATGAGTAAGTGGAAGCAAAGGTAGCCAGGGCCTGCCACAGAAGCCACACAGATAAACCCCTGCAGACCCAGATACCCTTTGAGATAAGCAGCTAAAATTAATTTTCTCTCTCCTCAGCCCAGCTCCACAAAATAATCCCCTTCAGCGAGAAGCACCTTTTACAGCAAGAGGCTCCGAGCAGCATCACTGGAATTGGGACAGGGAAAAGCGAAAGCCAACGGGGTGAGATTGATTTTTGCCTGTGCCTTTCCCAGCTGAGCCTCCAGCAGCCCTGCTCCTGTTTAAGAGGCTGTATGTCCCCAGGACTTGAAGGTGTCACCATCACATCCAGAGCATCGCTGTGGCCCCAGGCTTTGCAGACACCAGCGTGGCAGGTAGGGCAGGGGGGAGCAGGAAAACAGCTCTGAAGCACCACAATCCCCCAGGCTGCCACCGCTGTGGCTCTTGACATCACCCGCCTCACCGGCTGTGCCAGCCAGCGAGGGTCCAGCAACAAGGCACAGAGGGAAGAGAGGGGATCAGGGAAAGGCTCAATGCTTCTCCAGTTCACAGATCGGAGGGGGATCTCAGCTCCCCCCAGGATGGGGTTGGAGGCATCAGTGGTGGCTCAGGTGGCTGCAGGGGTGGCCAGCAGCTCCTTGCCAGGGCTGGAGGGTGAATTGGCACCACTGCTGGTCACATTCTCATATTTGGGTTCTTCCTCCATGGCAGCCTGGCCCTTTGTTTCGAGGCTGACAACTAACTCAGGGCTTTTGCCCCTCTCAGTGGCACCCACAGCTTCGCTGGCCCCGTCCTGGGCTCCGGTGCTTTTGGATGAGAGAGCTGCAAGAAGGAGGGACAGTCTCTTCGCAGGGAGATTCTGGTGCTTGCTGGGGGATGGCTCGGCAGGAGCCCCTGGGACGCTCTCCCTCTGCTTGCAGCTGTTCACAGAGTCTCTGCGTTGCGCCAGGGCCCGGCGGGGTGGTTTCTGGATGGCCTCCATGCTCCTCCTCACCTTGGGCTCCTCCTTGGCAGCCCACTTGCCCTTCTGCAAGCTGCCCAGACGCTTCAGCACAGCCTGGACCGGTCCCTCGCCGCCTCCTTCCGCCTTGGGGTCCTGCCCAGCCGTTCCCACCATCATGTAGATGGTGGTGACGTTGGGTTCTTTCCCCTTCGCCTCCCAGCTGCCAGATTTTGCAGCTGCTTCCAGTGCCTCCACTCTCTGGGCCACGTGCCTGGTGCTGGAGATCACCCTCCTGCGTCCCCCCGGGGTGGCCCGTGGCGATGGCCGGTGGCTTTCCTCCCCCTTGCTGAGGGGCTCAGGGTTCTCGTAGCAATCACTGGCTGGTCGCTCGCTCTGGGGTTCAGCTGCCACATCCCCTGGTGTTTGGGTCAGCTTGGATGGGCCCCACGGGGTCTTGGGCTTCCGACCGGGGCTGGGCGTCTCCACTGCCCCAAATTTTGTCCCCTCGGCAAAGGACACGGAGGGTCGCTTGGCCTTGGCGATGCTGGAGGTGCGAGGGATGGCGAAGGGCTGGGACACATCCTCGGAGTCGAAGGCGGATGGGTCCGGGAGCACCTCCCCAGGGGGGGATGCCCCATCCTGCAGCTCAGCCCCCCCCAGCAGCGGGATGCCTGTGGGAGGAGGTGACAAGAGTTACGGCTGCCAGAGCTACTGCCCTGCCCAGGGACACACTCGGGGACACTGGGACAGGGGTTGGGGCAACAGCATTGTCCCTGGGATCGTTTCCCAGGGAGAAGGTTGTGAAATGGGACTGCCCATGCTGGGCACGTCCTGTCACACGAGGTCAAGCACAGCCCTGGTGTGTCCCTGCAGACAGGAAAACAAGGGCATGGAAATAAACACTGTCTGTGCCCAGCACCCATCCTTGGGACAGCCAAGGTTGGTAACGGGGCAGGATTGACCCTGGCAGCCCGGACAGGCTGTGGGTGACCAGGGAGAGGAGGAGCAACCACGAGTGTCACCTTCTCTGGGAGGGACAGAGTACTCAGGTCCCTCGTTGTCAGTGTCAAAGGAGGAGAAGGAGCTGTCTGAAACCCACGCAGCCGATGGCGACTCGATGAAGCTGGGGTTGAAGGGGATTTCTGTGTCGTGGTGGGAAACTGGGAAGGAGAAGACACCCAGCTGAGCTTGGGCACCCCAGGGTGCTCAGGGCTGGGGTGGGAGAGGGGTTGGAAGCTTCCCTCCAAATGGTGACACTGCAGAGATCACGGGGTGGGGGTGACCCTCTGGAAGTGCTGTTGGCAGCTCTGCTTTCTTTACCTGTGACTTTGGGGAGTTTGGAGCCAGCCAGGTTGAAGCAGGGCATCATAGCACCGAGGTTCGCCAGCACCCCCTGCACGTGGTGCTTCATCCTGGCCACCACATCGTCGTCCGGCACAGCCGCCCTGCACAGCAGAGGTGGACATCAAGGGACACAGGAGATGGGCTTTGTGTCAGAGGTTGCAAAATATGACAAAATACCTGTCTCTAGCATCTGCTGGGCCGGCTCCACAGCAACAGCAGGCAACACAGAGCAGCAGCAGCAGGAGAGGGACAAGGATGGCGGCTGCAAGGGCTCCGTGGTCCTTCAAACCTGCGTGGAGAGCATGGGTTGAGTGTGGAATGTCCTGTGGCTGCGCAGCCCAGAGAACTGCCCTGCATGGAGACTGCAGGAGCTGGCAACTCGTGGTGGTACCAGGAAGCACCAGGTAGGACCAGGCTGCATCCCAGCCTCCCTGCACCTTCCCCAGTGAGGATGTGACCGTCTCTTGCCCAGTGCCGAGTAGAAAATTTGAGGTTGCTCTTACTCAGCACACAGTGACCCTGCACAGGGTCGCAGGTCCCCCGGGAGCACTGGCAGGGCTCGGAACAATTCACTCCAAAATACCCCTCGGGACAGGTGTCGTTGCAGCTGGAAGAGAGAGGAAAGGAGGGAAATGCTCCTGGAGAGAGCGAGGCCCCAGCCCTGCCCCGCTCCCAGAATTATCCTGGCGTTACCTGTCTCCCCAGTAGCCTGCCTGGCAGATGCAAACTCCTGTCACGGGATCACAGCTCCCCGCAACACACTCGGGGCAGAGGAGCTGGCACCCATCGCCAAAGGTGCCTGTGGGGCAGGAGTTGTTGCAGCTGCCGAGACAAAGAGCGAAGCATCAGCCAACTGCACCTGCAGGGCAGGGACCCTCCTGAGGACCAGAGACCCCATCCTGGGCATACCTGGGTCCTGTCCAGCCGGGATCACAGTGCAGGCAGGACCCAGTCTGGGGGTCACAGGGCTCCCCACGCCGGCAGCGGGGGCATGGCTGGAGGCAGCTCTCGCCGTGGAAACCGGGAGCGCAGGGATCCTTGCAGAGAGTCCCGTTCCAGCCAGGCTGGCAGGCCAGGCAGAAGCCATCCACGGGTGAGCAGGGCTGGCTGCGCTTGCAGTTCCCACAGCTGCATGGGCAGAGGGGCAGTGAGGTCACAACACCCACCCCTGGCCCCTCAAAAAGCAGGTTTCACCCCACACCAGCACTGAGCAACAGTTTGGACCACAGGGAAATACTGTGTAGTGCCCAGCACTCTGTAGCAGCAAGAGGACAGGAGGAAAGCAAAAATATTCTGGTTGGAAGAGACCAGGGGAGATGATGTTTTATCAGCCTGGGGAGCAGAACTAAAGACAATGCGATTTTAGGGTGACACCAGTGCTTTCTGCTGGCATAAGTGAGATGTTTCTTTTGGGGCAACGCTGATGCTGCATCCAACCAGGGATGCTTAAACCCCCCAGGATGGGTCTCCCTGCCCAGACAAAGGGACAAACACCACCATGATGACTTCCCCCCCAAGGTGTGACTGCCACCCGGGGGTACTCACTGGACCCCCCTGCTGCCCCCAGCTCACCTGTGCACGCACTGAGAGCCGTATTTCCCCGCCGGGCAGGGCTCCCGGCAGCTCCTGCCCTGGTAGCCGGGGTCGCAGGTGCAGTGGCCGGTGACGGGGCTGCAGGAGCCGCGCACGCACTCACAGCGCCGCTGGCACGCCGGCCCCCAAAACCCGGCCTTGCACTCGCACTTGCCCGTCTCCTGGGTGCAGGGAGAGAGGTTGCAGGAGCACTTGAAGCTGCACCTCCTGCCCCACCAGCCCGGCAGGCAGCGGCAGAGCCCGGTCAGAGGGTCGCAGTGGGAGCTGGCGAGGTTGCACTGACATTGCTTCTTGCAGTTGGGCGCCCACCAGCCCGGCTCGCAGCGGCAGGCGCCCGTCTGGGGGTCGCAGCGGCCGTGGGGGCCACACTGGCAGGGGAACTGGCAGAGCTGTCCCCAGTGGTTGGGGTCGCAGGTGCAGTGGCCGCTCACCGGGTCGCAGCGCCCGTTGGGGTGGCACGGGCAGCTCTGTTTGCAGTCGGGGCCCCAGTACTGCTCGGGGCAGCCTGCGGGGGGAAGGGGACAGTGAGGAGTGGGGGGGAAGCCCTGCAGCCCCTGTGGAGCATCCAGGTTGGCAAAGGCGATGGTGAGGGCTGAGCCCTGTGGGAACACTCACGGGAACTGCAGTCTGCTCCGAAGAAGCCGGGTTTGCAGCGGCAGACCCCGGGTTTCACACACACCTCGTCCTCCCCACAGGCGTCCTTCCCCTCGCACAGTGCTGTGGTGACAGGGCAGAAACATCAGCACACGACGGCCCCCCCTGAGCTCACACCCCTCTGCCAGACCACCTGCCACCAGCTCCTGCAGGGACAGACTTCCCAGGGAATCCACCATCCCGCTTCCCGCTCCATCCCTCCACCCGAGCCACAGCACCATCAGCAGCTTGCTCAGTGGGCATTTGGGGGTCCCCATGGCGCAGCACCCCACCACTCCTCGAGCAGAGCTGCAGGGTTTCCCCCAACACCCAGCACTGCAGAGGAGCTGCCTGGAAAAGAACGGGGACCGAATGTCCAGCTTTGTCATCATCCAACACTCACCAACTGTGCACTCCTGCCCGTCCTGCTTCCAGCCAGGGCAGCACTCCAGGCCAGTGGGGAGCCTGTGGGAGAGACCCCGGGGATCTGTCAGCCAGGGAAGGGAGTGTCAGGGCCAGGGCAGGGGGTGCTGGGGCCAGGGCAGCTTTGCTTGTGGCTTCAGCCAAGGCGAGGCGATCGCTTGCCCCGGCGGTGGGACAGCGGCACGGCCCCAAGGACAACGCTCCGGAAGGAAACCAGCAAAATAGAAGGAAATTTAGGAGCCTGCAGCCTGAGTGGGCGGTGGGGCTGGCCTGCCCAAACTGCCGGGAATGCCGCTATGGAGCCTGTGATGGGTCCCCAGTGCCCTGGGAGCGGCTCAAAGCTTCACCAGCAACACAGAAATAAGGCATTGGAGAGAAGGCAGCCAAGGGCATCACTGGTGATGGGAGAGGCAACATGGCAGCAAATGGGGGGACATCAGCTCCCAAAGCCCTTCGGGGTTTGCCCACAGTGATTCCCCACAGTGAGTTTTGCCAAGGGTCCCGTATCCCCCTGTTGCCCCGTGCACTGGAGTGAATGAGAAATAACCCCTGGAGAAGGGGCCCAGATGTCCCTGGGTGCCCCAGCTACACTCCCCAGCATCACCCCAGTCTCTCACTCACATGACACCAGGCTGCAGATCTCCCTCTGTGGAAGGACAGACAGACAACACACCTCTGGGGCTGCTGAGAGGCCCAGGAGATGGAGTGGTACAAGTGGGGACCCCCCATGGCACCTACCTGCAGACGTTCCTGCCATCGGGGTCAAGTTCCTGGGCAGAGCTGTGCACCCACAGCCACAGCTGGAGGCAGAGGATGGGCCGGGCACTCCCCATCCCCACCAGGGCCCAAGTCCTGGTGGCTCCCCAGCCCCACGCTGGCGTCCGTCTGTCCCGTCCCTCCCGTGGTGCGGCCTCTTCCTCCCTCCAGCCTTGGGTTTCTTCCTGAGGAAACGCGGGAGGAGTCACCCCAATCCAGACGTCAGGATTGCGTCGGGGAGGGGAGCAGGGAATGCCACTACAGGGTTATTTTCGGCCCTTGCTGCCACCCTGCCAGCAGAAATGGGCATCCAAGGGCTTGGCACAACCACACAGGGGCTGGTACCTGCCTGAGCATCTCACCTGGCTCCCCCTGTGCCTCCCTCTGTCGCCCCCAAAGCTGTTTTAGCCAATGCCCCCCCCCCAGCCCATGCAGGGCATCCGCTGCCTCCCCCTGCCCCGACCCCCATGAGCCAGCCCCTGGCACTGCCAACCCCTGGTAGGGGCTCAGAGGTGGGGTCCCACATCCCCCATGGCAACACAGCCTGACCTGTGCTGGCCCTTGGAGGGCTGCTGGCCACTGTCCCACCTCGCCGTGTCCCCAGGAGCTTTGTGTCAGCAGATGCACAGGAAACACCTTTTTCCTACCCAAGGCCGGCTCAGCCTGGGGGGATTCCTGGCTGGAAGCACAACTGCTCCCCTGGCCACGCAGGACTTAACTCCTCCACGCCCAGAGCTGCAGCATCACACCCCTGGAGCCCCCTCCCATCACTGCTGACCCACCAAAGGGGGCTCAGGGGGCTGGCAGAGCACAGCCACTGGTGGCTACACTGCAGAATGGTGAGTGAAGCCCGGGAGCACCACCCAGCCCCTTCCCAAGCCAGGAGAGAGCAGGGGCACCTCAGAGAAGAAACAAGAGATTGATTTATTTCCAACTCCAGTTTTAAAGCTATAAAGTACCTGACCTGAGGGGACCGACTGGCCCCCATGAACACAAGGATTGTTCCAGCCTTTAGGTCCCAGCAGTAGCAGGAAGAGGTCCCAGTACAAAACTGATTCACCTCATGCCTAAAAAGTGCAGGAGTGGCACTGGTAGTGCTGATCCTGGCTGCTCCCAGTTACAGGAGCACCTGGACACCTGGTGCAGTGTGCTCAGCCTCTCCCAGCCGTGTGGTGACCCCAGGACACCCCACCTCAACCTTCACATTGCAGGGACGGGGGAGGTACGAATGGAAAGGGGTGAAGTGAAACATCCCCCCCTAGAGCAGGATCAGGTGATGGGATCCTGGGCTCTGAGCCAGGGGGGTTTGGCAGAAAGAGCCACCAGTGGATGGGAAGAGCCCTTTTGTGGTGGAGACCCCACCATGCTGAGCTAAAAGCAGAGAGAAATGGGGAGGGGGGCACAGCTGTGCAGGACCCCCTGTAGTTAAGTCACGGGCACAGGGAAAGGGTGGCTGATGGGCAGAGATGCCCAGAGGGGCTGAGCTGTCCCATGCCAGGCTGGCACCCCACACCCGAGTGTCCCAGGGGGTTCACAGCAATCTGCCCACGCTCCGGCTTCGCCATCACCACGGCACAGGGAAGGGGCCGGGGCTGCCGTGCCGCTCTCGAAGACGCCGGAGGAAGAGGAGCCGGGAAGTGCTGCCGTGAGGTCAGATCAGCTCCCGTTCAGGTGGGGTCAGAGGGGTGCCGTGGCTCTGTTGGGGGCACTGGCTGCCGGCTCCTTCTCTCCCTGCGGCTCCACCTCTGTGTCCAGCGAGTCGATGATCTCCCAGGTGCCAGAGCAGCTGGATATGGGGGGGTCTTTGTTGCTGCCCTGATACCACAGCCCAAAACTGCAGAGAGAGCAGATAATGGCCGTGGGGGAGAAGAACCTTCCCAGGGAAGCTGTCGGATCCCAACCTCCCTCTGCTTTGGTGGCAGCAGGAGGACACAGCCTGGCTGGGAGTGTGTGGCACTGCAGGGGCAGCAGCAAGGCTTGCCCTGGCCCTGCCCAGGTCACGGCAGATCCTCCCTAAACCAATGACCCCCATTTTGGCAGCATCCCTGCCAGACCTGCACGGGGCAACCCAACTCCTTTCCTGTCATACCCAAGCTCAGCAGGTACCAGGCCCCAGCTAAGCCCCAATGCCCTCACTGGCAGAGCTGTCTGTCCCCACCAGCACAAGAGTAAACTTACAAGCTCCTAATTCTGGATTCAGAAGGCTGAGCATCCACACAGTCTGTGCCATGAGCTGGGAGCCAGGAGCCCTCATCTTCCTCACTGCAGGACAAAGAAATAGGGGGAAAAACCTGCACTGAGCCACAGACCCAACACAGCAGTGAGTGCTGGAGCCACCCCGGGGCTCCCTCTGGAGCTGGACAAACCTCCACCCATACAGTGCAGGGGCCAGTCTGCCTTGTCCAGTGCTCCCAGTGCCACCACCTCGCCTCTCTTTTGTCACACACACGCAGGGACAAGTGGCATTTGGCCAGGTCATGTGTGACAGGGACACAGGAGTTGCAGCAAAGAGCCCAGGCCCTGGGGTGCTGCCAGGGCTAGGCCTGAGCAAGACATTAAACTGCAGACATTAAACCTTTGATCTCTGGAGGGAGGAGGCAGCTCTGTGTCTGGGGGAGTTCCATTCCAGGGTGTCACAGCACATGGAAACACCAGAGCCTGGCAGGCAGCACCAACCCTGCACAGGAGGCCATGGCCAGATGGACTCACCTGCTCGCCGACTCCTCCGTCGTTCCCAGCATTTTGGCTCTGATTTTTTTCTCTGTTTTTTGATATTTGACTTCATTGCATCCAAGAAGAAGCCGGGAATTCTCTCCTCGTTCAGCAGCTCCCTGACAAAAAGCAGACAGTTGGTTAATCAACAGCCTGGGAAAGATTCCACCCCAGCTGAGTCACAAACAGCCTCTGATGGGCTGCAGGGACAGGAGGGACCCGGCTCACTGTCCCCCACCACCACAGCAGGACTCACCGCTGGTAATAGGCCAGTTCCTCCTGCACCAAGAACAGGTTGGTCTTGAGCTCATTCCGCTCTTGCAGGATCTGCTGCAGCTCTTCCTTGGAGAAGCAGCACTGAGCAGGGCTCCTGTCCCCTTCCTGGTGCTGTGACTCCTCCGTGGGTGATGGGGTTCCTTCCTGGGGGCATGGAAAGAGAGTCAGCATGAAAGAGAGACCCCAAAACCCCCACCCAAAGGCTGGGTGCCACGAGCAGGCAGAGATGGAAGCCTCAGGAATGAGTTTGCTGCTGCAGGCCTCCACGGGCCAGCACCTGCTGCCATCACCCCACGTGGCAAACCCTCCTCATCCTTCAAGTCCCACCTGGTTTTTCCTCCTGTCACCTCGCTTCGCTCCACCCCTACCAATTTTTACAGGAAAAGATGTTACTGGCATCACTGTTCAATTTTCAGCTGTGGGGTTACTTGAACAACCATGTCCTGCTGGCAGCTGGGTGGTCTGGGTGTGCCAGAAGCTCCACACAGGGCTGGCAATGTCAGGTCAGTGTCAGTGATGCCACAGGCTCAGACTCACCAGGCTGGGCTCTGGCCGCTGGGTCTCCTGGGCTGTCCTGCTCCTCCTGCTCGTTTCTGTCTGGATTTGCAGCATTTCAGCCTCCAGGTCCGCCTTCTGCTCCAGAGCACTCTTGAGCTGAGCCTGCACCACGGCCACCTTGTGCCGCAGGTCCTCGTTCATGGACATGAAGCGGTGCAGCTGTTCCTGCAGCTGGAGGGCCCAGGGCAGGCAAAAGTGAGGCTGTGTCCCCACCCAGGGACATCAGAGCCGCCGGGCAAGGCACTGCCCCAGCAGGCTCAGCAGCCGTGACAGCCCTGGGAGGGGGTTGTGACGTGAAAGCAGCTGCCCAGGCCCTCTGCACCACGCCCGTGAGCTCCCACACCCCTCACCGCCTCCGTGTCTCGGCTCTTGCAGACAATCTCGTGGGCCTGGGCGCGAAGTTCGTCCCTCTGTTTGTCCACCACCTCCTTCAGCCGCAGCATCACCTCCCGCTCCTTCCGTGCTGTGCTGTCTGAGACCAGACACGGCCACACAGGCATGAGTGGCCTCCAGGATCCACAGACTCCCCTAATCCCTGACACTGCGACGTTCCTCAGTCTTTCTGCCAGACTCTAACATTACTGGTAGATCTCAGAGTAGAAACAGTGGAAAGAGGGAAGCTGAAAGCTTTAGGCCATCCCAAACACATCCTTGTGCTGGCAAAGCAGCCTGTACCACCCTATGCCTGCCTCCACCTCTCTCCTGGGAGGGGTCCCAGCTTGGTCCTGGGGGCTTAGGGCTGCTCTGGGGGTTTGGGGTCCCTGTGATTGCAGAACAAGGTAACATTTATGCTCCCTGGCAGGACAGGTCTGCAGGGCTGAGGGAGAAATCAGGTCTCCAGGCTCCAGAGAGCAGGTTCAGCCCTGCACCCAACCTGCCATCCCCCACAGGGCCACCCTGTGGCATCAGGGGACCCCAAGTCCGCTGGGACACCCACCTTCCTGGGACTGGCTCTCCGCAAGCTGCCCCAGGAGCTGCCGGTTCTGCTCCTCCAGGCAGGCCAGGCGGCCATGCAGGGCTCGCTCCCGGCGCTCGGCCTCCCACAGCCTCTGCTCCGGGTCCTGGGGGTGCACAGCCGGGTCAGGGGATGGGGGACAGCCAGGTCAGAGCCACCTCCCCGAGAAAGCGGGACAGCCGGGTGGGAGCCATCCCAGGGAGGGTCAACTGGGTCAGACAGGTCGGAGCCACCCCAGGGGATGGGGGACAGCCGGGTCAGAGCCATCCCACGGAACAGACAGCCAGGCCAGCGCCGTCCCAGGGGATGCGGGACAGCCGAGTCAGAGCCAACCGCTGGGCAAAGGGGACAGCCGGGACAGGGCCGGCCCTACGGGGAACGGGGTCAACGAGGTCGGAACCGTCCCACAGGACGTGGAACAGCCGGCTCGGAGCCGTCCCCACGGACGCTCCAGGGGGACACACGCGGGTCGGTGGCACCGGGAAGGTCCCCGCGCCCCGCTCACCTCCGCCTCCTGCGGCCCGGCCGGCGCCTCCCCCGCCTCGGCGCCCGCCGGGGCCACCAGCGCCTCCAGCAGCTCCAGCAGCCGCACCACGGGCGGCACCAGCCCGGCCACGGCCTCGGGCCCGAAGCGGGCGGAGACGCGGCGCAGCTCGGCGCCCAGAGCCCCCGCCATGCGATAGACGTGCGGCGGGGCCAGGCGGCCCGGCGGGGTTCGCCACAGCGGCTCCGCCATGGCCCGGGCCCCGCGCACGCTCCGCCCGCACGGCCCGCCCCGTCCGGGGCCGCCCCGGGGCGGGATCAAACCGGAGCGCCTCCCGATCGTACAAAATTTATTGAGGCACGGGGTTATAGGGGGAGATACAACAACCCGGGACGGTGCGAGGGGCGGGGGGCTACGGGAGGGAGTGGGGTGCGCGGGGGACACACAGACACGCTGTTGAATATCAACAGTACTAAGAGTGGGGGCGCGGGCAGGATTAGGCGTAGAGATCCTCGCGGTCGGCCGAGTAAACCTCCCCCTCCTGCAGCAGGGCGAAGTTGAGGAAGTGAGAGGGGCGGTGGACCTCGTGGTAAAACTCCTTGGGGTTGGCGAGCTGGAGCTCGTACTTCATGTTGGGGTCGTGGCGAACACCTGGAAGAGAAAGACCGTCACCCACCTGAAAGCCCTTCCTGCCCCCACCATCCACCAGGAGCCTCATGAAAACTCTCTACCCTCACAGGATGTTTAAAGCATGGCTAGATAGGAGAGTTCTAAATCCACAAAATTACCACCTTTTGGACCCCTCCCCCAAGAGATCTACAGTCCTCTTCTCTGTGTGAATGTTCTGCCACTCTCATTTCCTGACCCCTTCTCCAGCTGGCTGTGGTGTTCATCATGCCAGGACCTGCCCTCACTTCCCTACTGGGAACTGCTTCTCTCTTGCATTTTCCATTATCTCTTCTGCCTGACAGGGATTAATTATTCATTGGTGACAGACCAGACACTACAATCCAGACAGACAGGGTATCTATTTCTTCTCTCTATCAGTTTGCTCTCTTGCCACCAAAAAATCATTGAGAACAGCCATCCCAGTGCTGGTACCAAGGAAAGGTCAGACCACAGTGCTGGTATCCCCTGCCAGCTGCTCTGAGGAAGGTCAAGCTTTGGAGTGGGTAAGGAATGTTTCCCTGAGGAGCAGCTGCCTCTTTTCCCATGCCCTTCCCGGGGCAGCTCACCCATGAAGTTGTAGTTCCAGGAGCCCTGTGCTGGGACCATGAAGAAGCCAAGGAAGCGGTCGGACAGCAGCATCTGCACCCTCTCGTAGTGGGAGGGCAGGTACCCCTTGGGGTTGTTCCCTTTGTCCGTGTTCTGCCGACCCCACTCGTAGCCACTCGGGGTCAGTTTGTAGGCTGTCAGTGTGCAGGAGCCGGGTGTGAAACTGAAAGGGAGGAGGGATAGGGCAAGTCAGACTCATCTGGGGGCAGAGGAGGGAAGCCAGGAATGAGCCAATGCTCCCTTTCTGCCAAATTTTGAGACCTCAGCGTGTTCCCAAGCACTGCACCCACAGCCCCCCTCAGAGGGGCACCAGGAAAGCTCCCTGTCCCTCACCTGCAGGTGATGATGATGGTCTTCTCCCCATCCCAGGAGGGGTTGTCAGCCATGACCTTGGCGTGGGTGGTGACATCCTGCGGTGAGAGCTGGGGGGACTCGTTTGGTTGGGTGTGAATCCACCCCAGAGGTTCCATTTCCTGACAAAAAGGCAGCGGTTTAGAGAGAAATCAAAGACATCTAAAACAAGACCACTTCAAGCCTGGCAAACAGCACAGAGAGATCACAGGCTTCCCCCTCACCTGACCCCACTCAGGCTGCATTCAGGCCAAGCCCTTTCAGTCCCACGTCTACAACAGACCAAAGGAAGCTGCCCCACCACCTCAGGTCCCTGTTACTGAACTTCCACCCACCCTGGAAGCTCAACTCACCTTGAGATACTCGTGCTGTGGCAGCTGCCCTGGGAGATGCACAGTCTGGTGTGTTCCCCACTGGGGCACCATCACGATGCACCGGATCTCCTTCACCTGGGGGTTATCTGGAGGGCTCACTCCATACAGGTAACCTGCAATCTAGGAACACAGACATTTGCCTTAGAGGCCCAGTAGATGTGAGAGTGGGAACTCCTTATTTCTCTAGGAGAGCATCTCCTGGCTGGCAGGTTCTCACTAGAGAACATCACAGTCCTGGACCACAAGGAGCCACCAGGACCTGGCTAGAACTTGGCTGCTCAGATGTATTGTCAGTGCCTGTCTCCAGCACAGAAGGCTTCACATGGACAGCAGATTCCCAGCCCTTCACCACCAGTTCCTGACTGCCCAGGACTGGTGTGTGCCCAGCACTGTAAGAGCCTCGCTGTGCACTCACCTGGGCCCGCAGGTCTGAGATGCAGATGAACTTCTTCAACACGTTCTTGGGAAGGATGTAGGTATAACCCGTCTCCTTTATGTCGTCCGATGAGACGTAGATGTGGTTTGTCCGCAGGTGGAGGTTGGCAGCAGAAATGGCTCTGCAAGAGGAGGTGATGATCAGAGGGTGCACAGATCCCTCCTGAGCACTGACCCTCCCTGAGCACTCCGACCCTTTCCAGCACCCCCAGCCCTGCCTGCCTTCCTACCTGACCCGCCACTCAGTCTTGGAGGAGAAGGTCTGTGTTTCGTAGTTGCTGGTGGTGGAGGTGATGATTTCATCCCCGTGTTTGTTCACGGTGCGGGTCTGTGTGGCTGTCAGCTGGGACTGCTCCTTGGTTTGCTTCTCAATTTCTGCAATCTGCTGTCTCTGCTGAGATGGGGCCGAGATCTCCATGCCCAGGATAATGTCTCTGATCTCTGACTGTGTCAGGGATGCGACGTTCACGCTGGAAGAGAAAATCCACCCAAGTCAGGCACTTCAAAATACATTCTGGACCCTTCTCACCAAGGCACATGCTTAGAATACCTACTCAGGGTGCTTTGAAAAATGAAAACACAAGTTTTAAACAGAAAGAAGGGGCCAAATCACATGATGCTTAGATTAAAAAAGGTTTGGTGCAGATCTTTTTGGATACCTTACCAGAAAGCAACTAATAACAACCAATTTCCCTACAAAGCTGATGATTCATTACCACAGGCCCTTCTACTCTTCACAAGGAGTAGTGGTGCCCCAGTTTTTAGAGCAGGAAGGAAAGGCTGACAGGATTATTGCAGCTGCACAGTGGCTTACTTGTTCTTCTTGCCATAGTCAGCAAGGATGAGATCCTTCAGCTGCACCTCCACCTTGATCCACTCCTCATCTGTCAGGGTTGGCCAGATGTGGTGAGGCTCAGTGATGGTTGTCTTATCTGGTTTCAGAATAACTTTGGCTCGATCGTTATTCACGTGTAGTGCCCGGAGAATCAGGATCAGACGGGAGAATGCCTTGGAGATGAAAAAAAAAGATGCACTTAAACAGAAGGAAACCAAATATACAAGGCCCTAGTACAGCTCTCCTCTGTTTTGACACGCAGACATTGCATGGGAAGCATCAGTGGAACTGATCTGAAGGAAAATCCAGGCAGATTCAGAGCCAAGTGCTCCCAAACAACAAATCATGAGGGATAACTGAAGCCTTGGTTCCTGCCTCATTTACCAGCAGCAAAGCAAAATTACAGAAGAGACATCTGTGCTCACCGTGTAGGAAGAGATGGTTTTCAGCCAGTCATCATAGAGATTGAAGAGAACCATCTGGGGTTCAGTAGCCTTCAGGATGAGATCACCAAACTTCTCTACTTTCAGACAGGCCTGGAAGGGCAGCTGCAACTCCGAGCCTTTGATCACAATATTGGGGAAATCCAGCAAGTGCACCTGGAGTGTATCAACAGGAATTAGCTCACAACTGCTGCAGAACATCACAGGAACACAGAAGTGTCCTGTCACCTCCCAAAGATTCTGTACATCCTCACAGAGCAGTATCTGCATTGTTACCTCGAGTGGGTCCAACATGCCCTTCCGTGTCACTATGATCTGCTTCGGCTGCTCCTCCACAGGAAGGGATCGGATCAAGGCAGCCACTTCTTCAGCAGTCTTCCACTTGGCCAGCTACAGAGAGACAGCAGGGTTAGAGAAATACCTCCCTGTTAACAGCACCATCTCCATGTCTCTGGGAATCAGAGATGCAAACCAAATTCTAAAAACACAACTGGAATTTATGGATCAGTGACAAGGCCCAGCATTTCCTCCTTACTGATCACAGAGGGCAGTTCCCATTCCTGGAGCTCAGTTACTCCTGACTGGATCAGAAAAAACCAGCTGGCTACTCCACCTCCCTGGATTTGCCACCCAAGAGCCTCCTCACTGCACTGGATGCACAGCCAAGTGCAACATGATTTGTGTAACGAGGAGCACAGCACTGTTCCTCAAGCCCTTCTTGATGATGTGGTGAGCCTCCAAATCCTTGCAATGCCTGTGTTCTTTCACTATTATATCCCATGCTCAAGTGCCTGAGCACTTGTCACACACTGCACATTGGAGATCCAAACTCATTAAGAGGCTGGAAGATGAAGATCCTCATGGTATTTTCTATTCAAGGGAGCCCCAAGCAGTCAGAGCCCATCCCCAGCCCACACCAAAGCACAGCCAGGCCCTACCTGTCCCAGACGCTTCTGTCCTGCCCACACAGATGTGTGGATGATCTTCAGGAAGAGCTGTCCAGTTCTGGGGTTGAAGATGAAAATGGCTCCATTGATGGGTTTTGTGGTCAAATTCCCTTCAAAAGTCTGAGAAAATAAGCAGAAGTGAGAAATACAGGGAGATAAATGTAGCCCACCCACACCTTACACAACAGCTGACTTGCTGTGTGCTTTGAGCAGGAACTGTACAGGAACTGCTCTGGGCACGCTGCAAAACCTGGGACCACGTGTTGATTCCCAGTTTTCCATCATGCATGGAAACCTCCACCTGCCCCCTCCCCCTGAAAACAGGACATCACAGCCCCCGTCCTTTCCCTGAGATACACTTTCACTCTCACCTTGTGAATGGTGACTCTGTACACGTTGGTGTCATCCACGAACCAGATGATCTGGTTGGAGAAGAGCTCTCCGTAGTTCTGGGAGGAAAGGTACGGCTCCGTGGGCTCCGAGGAGTAGAGCTGCAGCCCCTTGCGGATCCGTTCCCTCAGCACGTACAGGGCAGGGTTTGCTTTCATGATTTTGGCCATGGCCTGCTGGATCAGAGGTTTGCTCCCAGGGA